TCATCGCGACGAAGCAGAACATCGACACGCTCTTCTGTGAGCATAGGGTCTAATTGCTAATCGTCATTTCTCATTTAGAAGCTTGAGCACTTCTTCGATTTGGCGTGCCTTTTCTAAGATTTTCTTGCTGTATGAGATGCCCAAACTGGTAACTGTGTGCCACTCCTATATAGCACTAGACTCTCGTTGGTTTTCTTACAACGAGTGAAATCCAAGGTGTTCAGCCTTGTATACCAAAACGGAAAGTCGAGACGAGGGTGATCATCTCGTTGCTGATTCCCTGAAGACGACGAAGACGAGTAACATGCAGCTGCTGCAGGATTTGTGCGGATCCTTCGGATCTGGCGCGCACCTCGCGTGCAGGGCCTCGTACTCGAGGATCTTCTTGTGGAGGGGCTGTGAAGCGCGGAAGCTGGGAAACTTGTGTCGAGTGTATGAAGTGTATTCGGCCCTGCTCCTGCACGATTCGTCGTTTACGTTGGCGCGAGAATAGTACCCCAGGCTCGATGATTGCGTCTTCGTCTTGGGTGAGTTCCGTGATAGCGGTGGTGAAGACGAGCGTCACAAAAAGTAAGGGCCTATAACTCTTTGTCATCGTATAGATAGATGACAAAGAGTAAAACTATTACTTGGGCAGCTAACTGTTTTTCTCCAGAATGAATGGAGTTGATACATAGAATTAGCACCGAACTCTTGAAGAAAAATTATCAACCAGGAATATAAGTTGATTACCAATCGCCACCCACCACACTAAACTCCAATGAAGAATACTTTGATTTTAGGCTACCTTTAACTCTAGATTTAGGGCTGATTCAAAACTAGCAGTTTAAAACAAATTTGCCTTTAAATTTCATTTTCCCCATCATACTTCCACTCTTTGGGCTTGCGGCTTGCGGCCGGACATTTTCATGATTGGAGGCAGTTGCGGCGAGATGAGAGATTTCACGAGCTGTGATCCATCTCTACCAAACGAATTCACGCACCTTCGCCCGAAACAGGAGGAGTTTTTAGTTTCGATTTCCAGCGAGAGAACGAGGAACACTAACCTTGAGTAGTAGTCACTGCATTGGACGTAAAGGCCCGGACTGTTCTTCCGCGCTTCTTGGAGCTCCCTGTGCTCTTGCGGTCCTAGATTTGTATTCATCGCAGCAGTGCTCTCGATGCACGCACCGTCGAATCGCATGTTGTCTTCTTCGAGATTTGCCTGACAAGTAATAGGAGAGTTTTAGAATAAAGGAAAGTTTGCACTAGCCCACCTGTTTGCCTCTCGACACGAAGCTTGTAGCCCTTTGGAACACGCTCGATCCAGCCCGGCGTAAGAAACCATTGGGAGGTGGTTTTGATGCGTTCTGCAAGGAAGGACTTAAGGAAAACTAGTTCAGAAAATAGAGCTCAATATGAACCTCATCGGTTCGTCGACTTAGATCAGGCTCGGAGATGCTGCGAGCAGGAACTTTGCTGGCGTTTGTTTGATCTTCTACTGATGGTATGGATGTGGACGAATTGTACCTTGTTATCGTCGGAGTGGGAATAGAGCTCATTACATAGCCGAATGTATTCGAGAGAATGCGCCCGGCAAATTGGGTGTATGTTCTCTTTCCATCCTACACACGACGGTTTAGACAGAGTTTAGCCGGCATCAAAATAAGCACCTGTAAGTTCTGTACAAGGCGACTTTCCAAGTCCATCGCAATCGACTCGAGGCCGGGATCCTTGTTCATTTGCTTGAGTGCTTTGAGAAAAGCTCTAGTATACCTGTAAGATAAGCATGACTTACGTGAGCTTTTGCTCCTAAGTTATGCACTACCTCAAAGCTTCTTCCGTTTGTCCAGCCTCTGCGAGCATAGTTGCATACACTATTTTGTACGGTTGGAAGCACACTAGTGTAAATTGGGGATTTCCTTTCGTTTTCACGTATTCGTATAGCTCCGTCCTCTGCATCAAGCATTTCGTTTAGTATTCCTATGCGACAATAAGAAGAAACCTTGAACGCCAACGGTGTGAAAAATGTTCTCGGGTACTTCCAATGGTCTGCGCCGATCAGACGAATCCTTCCGTCACTGAAAAATGCTTCGGGACTTTGGTCGACCAAAAGATAGCACAAATGCGCCGCCGCCACCTGCGAGAAATATACTAATACCAAAATATTCATACAAACATAAACCAAACCTGTTCTTTCTGACCCCATAATGCGTCGCCCAGTCGAGTGATCGCGTCATCATTCCCAGACGTCCGGTTTGTGGCCATTAGAGCAAGATGCTCATGCCAATGGTCAAGAATGCCGCTTCCCTGATCAACTCGCAATTAAGTAGGCAACGATTTTCCATAAATACACAGCATTACTTGATTGCCGTTTTCTCCAAATACATCCGCCGACTGGCCGCTCATAAGCAAGCTGAAAGTTCGTAATGGACCTGGAGACAGTTGATGATATGCCATTTTTGAGATGGTATCAGAATAACACTGCAATTATTAAAATTCAAAGCTGATTTGATAATGAAGCACGAACTGTTTATTCTCACCTTGTCCCCTAGCTGAGACGCAAGAACGAGAGCTAGTCCCCACGATTGGCCGTCTTGTGCGCACTGTAGGGCCTGCTGAGTCTTTCCTGAGAGTAGAAGTCCTTTGACTTTTATCGAAGTTGCCTGAAAGCTGACATGTAAGCTGCCAGCGTAAACAGGTAAACAACTGACCTGCAAGCTTTCGCTGTTCGGCATTTGCCGCAAGCAATGTTGTTCCGTGGCACCAGACGAACTTGCGGTAAGAATTGCCTGGCCGACGGTTGCCTCTGGTCCAGTCCCCTAGACAAGTTTACACCATTGGTGAGAAGAAATAAGATACAAAAAGTTTTCTCACCTCTGATGGAGTACCAACAGCAGATCGTAGCTTCCCATGGTGCTCGAAGGCGATTTTAAGAACTTCCCACAACAATGGAAGCGCTTCGAAATTCCTGCTATCGGCCTCTTCGCGTGCACAGTTGGAGATGCGCTCGTCAATCCACTTGAAGAGCTCATTCTTCGATCCGTTTTGTAAGCCTCCATGGAAGTCCAAACCAGGTGCTGAATTGGAAAGACTCGGCAGTTTGTGGACTTCGATCTTGCTCGAGCTCCCTTGCTGATCGTGGAAAGGCTGTCAAATTGGAAAGAATAACAATTAACTCTTCTTCAAGGCAAAGTGATTGTGGACGAACTTTACGTACCTGTGAAGAAGGCTTTATCACGGCCATCGTTCCGCCAAAACCGAATGCCACGACCACGTGTGGGGGCCTTCCAGCGGAGGACCGACTCGAACTCCAGGCCATCTGATGCGTATGGTAAGCCGGATCCTCGGAAACTTGAGGCTGCGAGTAGTGGCGATCATAGCTATACCCATTTTCTTGGTTCATTCCTCCGAAATTCCACGAGAAATTTCCCTGGACCGGATGCTGAGCCTCGAATCCATAGGAATTTCCATTGCCTGGCACATCCGCTTGCCAATTGTGATTGGAATACTGTGAATCGACGAAGCTGTGATGCACGTATCCGGATTGCGGAGCTACAGCATACATCCTGCTCGATCCAGCAACTCACATTCTTTCGGAACGCCGCATTTCCGCATCCAGCACCAAGATCCGAGCTAGCCGGGAGGAAACAAGGCGACGCAGCGCAAATGTGCGTCCGCCGAGCCAACAGATCGAAGAACCCTAGACGATCGCCACCAAGAGAGAGGGCGCGTGGAGCAAACTTCTTCAAGGCGCCGGGACTAGGGAGCTAGCTAGGCTTGACGGAATAAACCCAGCCGTGAGGTGGTACATTCTGCTAGCCGCGACGGACGCACAGCTGGCTTCCATGTGAGCGCCAGCTGTGCGGCGCGGTGCGGCGCCGCGGACATCTGACCGTTGGATGCCCTCCTTGAACGAACGAACGAACGACCCAACGCCCACGCATTGATTCCGCGAATCTTTTGGTTTGTTTTTCTTTCGCATTCACAACGACTGGTGTGCGTTCAATTCCCACCAATCATGACAGCGAAGAAACACCACACACGGTGAGTTTGTGAAAAAGAGAAAAACCATTGGCTCTTGGATTTAGGGTTTTTGGGCGGATTAGGGCTTTAGCCAGATTAGGGCAACTCTAGCCGCCAAGAACCCTAGGCGAGCGAGGAGGGAGGGCGATGGCGGACCGCAACTACACTGTGCGCACGCGCAAGTTCATGACGAATCGCCTCCTCCTGCGCAGGCAGTTTGTAAGTCTTGCTTCTGGCGCTCAGATTTTTCGAGGCGCCGCGGTTCTGATTTGATTTCGTCTCGGTTGTGTAGGTCGTGGAAGTTCTTCATCCGGGGAGGCCCAATGTTTCCAAGGTGGGTCTTTTAGCTCGCTGAGACGAAGGGAATGTGTGTGAAACTGGATTGGACAGGCTGAGCTCCGGGAGAAGCTCTCAAAGGTTTACGACGTCCGTGATCCCCAGGCGGTGTTTGTCTTTGGGATGAGAACCAAGTTTGGCGGCGGCAAGTCGTCTGGATTCGGTCTCATCTACGACTCGGTCGAGGCTGCAAAGAAATTCGAGCCAAAATACCGTCTCGTCAGGGTGAGCTTAGTTCTTTTGATTCTCGGCGCCTTCGCGAGCAACAGATTTCTCACCTTGGTTTCGTTTTCCATTCCAGAACGGACTTGCCACCAGAGAGCAAAAATCGAGGAAGCAGCTCAAGGAGCGGAAGAACAGAGCGAAGAAGATCCGCGGAGTGAAGAAGGTCCGTCTTTTTTTCTAATCCATGAGTGTGCTCTCTTTGATCGGTTTGCTTGCTCTCAGGCCAAAGCTTCCGGAGAGGCCCAAAAGGCAGGAAAGAGGAAGTGATGTGATTTTCTGGTAACATCCCGGTTTTTGCATGCTTGGTTGGATATATAGCTAACATTTTGAATCAAAAACCTTTTCTTTGAAAAACGATATTTTTGTTATATGCATTGATTTAACTGTAAACTCGAGTGGTTATGTTTAAATTCTTGGTTAGGAGATAAATATTGTGTTTTAAACGGTCAAGAGATTTAGAGTTAAAGGAAACCAAAGTTTATAGCATACAACCTTAAAAAAAATTTCTACCAGTAGAAAGAGCTTCGACCATGCTTGTTGGTCATCCAGCTACGATTTGGAGCACCCCAGGAAGAACCCATTCTCCTTTCGTGACGATCAGTCACAGTAGAGCTCTCGGCCGCCTTCTGGATCAACCAGTCGGGGACTTGCTGGTTGCAACTCTCGAGCAGATGGACGAGCTTGTGCGCCAGAGGAGCGTCCCCGTCGCAGAAGAGAGCTGTGGCGAATCCTCTCTTGCCCGCTCGTCCAGTTCGCCCGATGCGGTGCACGTAATCGTCGATGTTCGTCGGGAGGTCGAAGTTGATGACATGGGACACGTCCGGGATGTCGATGCCTCGGGAGGCTACTTCGGTTGCAACGAGAAGGGGCGTGGATCCACTCTTGAAAGATTTCAAGGCGCGTCTTCTTTCCTACAGAGATGAAATGAAAGTTGAGATCGCGAGAGTTAACGAAGGAAGCATTCTACCTCTTGCGTTTTATCTCCGTGAATCGCAATGGCAACATAGCCTCTGGAACGCAGCCAGATTTCGAGATCATCAGCCTTGAGCTTGGTGCCAACAAACACCAGCGTTTTCTGCGAACGTGACCAGCGAGAAAGTCATGAGCGAGCAAAATCTATTTGAACTCTTACATTGTTTTTGGTTCCATGCATCTGCTGGCGATCTATGACCATTCCTAGGCAGTCGTACTTCTGGTTGCGCTGGACAAAGATGACCTCCTGCTCGATGCGACTGGTACTAGAGCCAACTTCTCCGATGGCAAGGAAAACATAGTCTTTCCGCAAAAACTCCCCGGCAAGCCTCTGAGAAAAACTCTCATACTCGAGTCGGGAGGATGAAAAAGAGCATACCTGAATCTTTTTAGGAAAAGTCGCACTGAACATGAGCGTCTGCCGAAGTTCCGCTCCTGGCATGCCCGACTCCTCCACAATGCGTCGGATTTGCGGCTCGAAGCCCATGTCCAGCATCCGATCGGCTTCGTCCAAAGTCAAGTACTTGAGTTTCTGGAGCTCCACCATCTCTCGGTCCAAAAGATCGTTCAAACGACCGGGCGTAGCCACAAGTATGTCAACTCCACCCAAGTTATCGCTCTGGAAAAGAGAGAGAGAAAAAAACGAGGATGATCAAAGAAGACAAAGTTTTTATACCCAGAGTCGTGTTCCTCCATAGACAACTCCAACACGAACTCCCGTTTGGTAGCAAAACTTGAAAGCTTCATCGGCTATCTGCACCAAAACGATCGAGGAAAACTTACGAAGGAAAAAGAGATGGGCAGTGAAAGCTCTATGCTTGCCTGCTGCGCGAGCTCTCGAGTAGGAGAAAGAATGAGAGCCAGAGGAATGGAAACTCTCCTCCTCCCTTCCCTGCCTGGGACGGGCTCCCTGAGAATCCCTTCGATGATCGGGAAGCAAAATGCGGCAGTCTTCCCGGATCCCGTCTGCGCGCACGCCATGAGATCCCTAGCCGCGAGGCAGATCGGAATGGCGTACTTCTGGACGAGCGTCGGCACCGTGAACCGGCACTGCCTGATGTTGTCGTTGAGGATGGAATGGAGCGACAGATCGTCGAAGCTCCGTGCTGGCGCTGGGACATCGGATCCGCTCACCTCGACCTCGCTCTCGCTCTCGCCGAAATATCCCTCCTCGGACATGATCTTGACCAGATCCACTTGCCAATCCGCAAGAACACGACACGGATCAGCCGATCGTTCGGACACGCCGCCTTAAATCCCGCGCGGCTGAGCAGGCAGCAGTCAATGCACATCCCGCTGAAAAGATTGGAGCAGCGTCGGGAGAAGAGATGGATTGAAAGACAAAAACCCTAGAGGTATTTTTCCCGCGCTCTCGGAAAGTTCTTTAGATAAACATACTAATAACATTTCATTAACGTTAACATGGAGGCTTTGCCCGCCCAGGTTCGAATCCTGCCGTTACGTTAAAGCTTCTTATGCTTAGATGGTGGCTGTATGGACAATCACTGTCTTTAGAGCACTGTGCCAAGGAGCTTTTTAGTGACAATGCCATTCTCGCCTGAAAATTTTGTTAGAAAAACTTATGGTTAGAGATTTAAATTTTTACTTACCCATTGCAAGGGCCATTGAAACCACTAGAGAGATGAACAAAAGCTGCAAAACTATTGTCGAGAGCTAAATCTTTGCCATTGTGTTGTGTGAATTGTGGCTTCCAATAGGCTAGCTTTTATACTCCCAGGAATGAATATTATATCATTGTTCTGAACAATTAAAATTAGAGATGGTGTGGATCATGAGGTCTGATTTTTCTGAATACTCTCATTCTCGACAACATATATCATACATTAGTAGTCAAAACCTTACCTAATTGGTTTCATTAATGTGGATTATATCAAATCTTCTTTATTAGCTTAAAACACGCTTTAAACAACAAAATTGCGTGCATTTTCATTTCAGTCTCTTCACTTTTTTGAGTTCAACATGTGGCCAAGGGGATGGACCTCTTACAATGTTCTGAATATACTGTGGTGCCAACTTGGAACTGAAATTCCCCCTTTTACAGCTATAGCTAACTGCACTCCAACACCATAGACAATTTCTATATCTATCAGGTCTTGCAGTGCTTATCCAAAAGCATCTTGATGTGTAAGTAGAAAAAGTACATTGGCGGTATGAATTATTATCATTTTTTCCAACGCATATACGGATCCCAGGCGGAATCTTAAGAATCATGGGATCATGATCCCCTCAAGTTGTTTCCAGCCGCGGTGGAAGCAAAGTATGCCAGTGCACCAACCAGACCGGAGTTTGCATATGTCGAAGGCTCGGCTTGCGAGAAATCATCACGATTGTCCGAAAAATTGTCGGATCCGTCGGGACCCCCGATCACAGCACCGATTAGAATGTTTGGATTGGGATTGGAGCTGTGAAGCCAATTAAATCCCCCAGAACAAGATATGTGTTCTTCCTGCGTACGGATCGAGGGCAGCGAAGAAGCCCGGTGGTGAACTCGCTGTGGAAACTTTGTACCAAACCCAACCATGTAAGACATGCACCTGGGATTGCTACCCAGAATGTAGTCCACCTAGAAAACACCAACATCAAAAAGAAAAGGTGGCAAGCTATGCATGCTCTAAATGCATTGTCTACTTACCTGTTGCTTTGCAAACGAGATAAGCTGGCCGGGCTTAAAACCGTTGTTTCCCCCACACGAAACGCTCTGACCCGCTTGAGCCAGGTACCGCCCGTACGTTATGAGAAGGAACGCATTGCTTGTGACATACTGGAGGTTGTTTGAGCCACCGTGGTAGAAAAGTCCCCCTGATCAGAAAAGATTCCCGGGGAATAATCAATGTGGGAATCGAGAGGAATCATTTTAGTACCTGGCGTGATGGTGGCCCTCCCAGGCATCGCAGAGCACACGAAGTCGTCGGCACGAGACTTGTAAGCGCGAACTACGTTGAAGTCGCTACCAGTGGTGGCGAGAATAAACTGTCCAAGGTCACGGGAAAGAGATGATTGATCCGACGGTTGGTTATAGTTAGGACCAGTCAACGGTAAATTCTGGATTTTTTTTACCTTGGAGAGTAAAACGTCGACACCAGCGTATTTGTTGTCCCAGCTTAGAGTGTTGTATGAACTCCCGGGGCCGCCGAGCTCGTCCCCGTGCTGGGAAATGTAATCGAGGTAGCGTTTGTCGCTCGAGGCCCGGAAGATCCACGCCGCGCCCCACAAGAGCTCATCTCTATATCCTGAGTAGCTCGTGTAGAAAGGGCTCACGGCTCCTCCAAGAACATCGCTATAGCTTCCTCGGTACTTGTCAGCAAACGCAAAGATCTATATCACGATCAAAGAGAAGCCAAGTTAGAGCAAAGTCCACCTATCCAAACGATGAAAGTCTCGGTGCTCGATCGATCACTTACTTGCTTGGAAGTGGCGAGGAGCCTCTGGGAGTAGGAAGAATCAGTGGCGGCGAAGACAATAGAGGCGGCGGCGAGGGCGGCGGCGGTCTCTCCCGCGACGTCGGACCCGGGCTTGGATGGATTGACTTGGTAGCAAGTTCTCGGCGTGTCCATGTCCTCGGGGCGCTCCCAGCACTGGTGGTCGGCGTTTGGATCCCCGACTTGAACCCAGAGGGTGGATGGCGGGACAAAGGCGGAGAGGAGGTAGTCGGTCCCCCAGCGAATGGCGGCGCGGGCGTTGTCCAGCTCCGCCGCGCGCCCGAGCTCCGCCTCGAATTCCACCACGCTCCACGACAGCAGCGTGATCGTGAACGCCATCGGGAAGCCAAACTTGACGTTGTCGCCGGAATCGTAGTAGCCTCCCGTGAGATTCACCTGAGCAGCAGCGAAAATCGATCGACTAGAAAGGTAAACCACAAGAAAAACATTTCAAACGAGCAAAAGATTCTATGGTACATTCGCTGTTCTTCCATCGCTCATCCCCGAGTTTGCGCGCCATTTGATCCTCTGGCTCGTCGGCAGCTTGCCCGATCGCATCCCCTCGTAGAAGAGGATGGATTTGGCGAGCGCGTCGCGGTAATCCAGCGATTGGAGCGCCTGCGCCTGGATTTCCACCCGCATTGCCGTGAAAAGAACAAAACCAAAGATCAAAATGAGAGAAGAGGAAGAACTCGCTGCCATGATCAAGTGGATTTGTGTGAGGAACAAAGGTTTTATAGCGGGGGAAAATTTTTTGTTAGGTCTTAACAGTTTTAACGGGCGCCGTTAAAAAAGAATTTCTACCGTGGTCCCCACCGCACGGTACCCGAGGGCGGGAACGGTGGATCGTGTGACCAACGTTACGGTACTACTAACGCTGGCCGTTGGATCGTCGCGCAGAGAAGAACTATGCGATGGATCTTAGAAACTCTTTTCTTCTTCACGGAACAGTGTTCTTATTTACACGTAAAGAAAACTCCGAAGACCTTGGCTTAAAAGGACAAAGCCGGAGTGTTCCAGTTTCTATATCTCCTTGTCTTGTTTAAGACAATTTCTCGCGAGCACCGTTCTTGTAACAGGCACGCGAGGAAAAGCCCGAGGCGAGTAAAGTCACTGGGCCATGAATGATGAATTTTATTCCTGGTGAAATGCGAGTGTACCACGAGCCTTGTCTCCTGCATCACATGATATGCTTTTCCCAGTTTGTAGGAAGAAACAAGCAAGAACTCCAAGAGAAAATGGTGTAAAGTACCTTCAAGCTATCAGATCGTATTTTTCTATTCTTCTTCGCCTTTATCAGAAGGACTGGGTCTTTCCAAACACGAACACTCCTCCACTGCCGATTGCCCGGCCGAGAAGCATGTCGTTGTCCAGGTACGTGAGATAGTAGAGAAGTCCAAGAGACCTGGAAAAACTAAGATGAACAAGGGATTCTAGCGAGTTTAAGAGTACCTTCTTTCGTTGGAGGGTCTTCTTCCGCGCAATGGAACTCTTACGTCCAGAGAGTTTATAGCTTGGAGGATCTGTAAAGGGAGTGGTTTGTTTGCTTTTTAATGTGGTTGCAATTGCGAGCGAGCGAGCATTACCTGGAGATTTAGAAACGTTCGTGGCAGAACGGCTGGAGCGAGCAAGGCTTGGACCTCTTCACTTATCAGAACCTCGCCGAGTCTAGCCTGTTAGTTCGTGGTTCGTGTGAAAGATTTAAAGAGACACTGAGGCGGAGAGTTACTGGACCTCTTTAAACTCCAATTGTATCGTCCGAGCACTCACAACCGAGAAGCCAGCCGTAACAAACAATGTCGCCCCTTCTGCATCCTACAAGAAATAAAAAACACAACAAGAAAGAAACATTAGAAAGGAAAAGCTTACAAACAAAACCTTTGATACCTGCAATAAGCCAGGGATGCTCCACCTTACAACGTTCACGACTTGTCCCCCATCGAAGCGTCCCTTGCACTCAAACTTTTGATAAATCTGTCCAGCCTAGATCGCACAGCATCCTGATTAAAAAAAAACTGGAAAGAAATCCATCCAAAGTCACCTTGAAAAATGGAAACTCTCCAGCTTGCAAGATGGAAAGAACATCTGGAGCGGAAGTGTATTGCAGCAGCCAAGTTCCATCCAGCTTGTCAAGATCCAGGGCAGTCCCTGCATCAAAACTTTCGACTTCCACCTTTCTTTACAAACATGGGAGAAATTTTTGTCCAGGAGCGAAATAAAAATGTACCATACCATTGACTCCTCGAGAAGCGCGCGCTGGTCTTGGCTCGCTCGAGATCCCCTGCTCGTGTCCATCACTGCCTTGAGCAAGCTCATCTTCGCCTTGTGGAGGTCTCTCGTTCTCTCCTGGAAACTCCAAAATTCTACGCAATCCAATCGATCCGAGAACGAACCTGATGAGCCGCCGAGGCTCTCGAGCAGGAGGAGAGCCGCGCCATCGCCGGGGCGCCGCGAGATACCGGCATTCTCGCCGCTCCCAAGAAGAGAGAAGAATCCATGCCCTATAATATCTAAGCTTGGAGGATGTGTGAAAAATCTAAAGAAACAAATCCAAAAGTCGAATTCAGGCTGCCACGTGGGCGTGTTGGCGACATTATTCGACTTGACGAGCTTGGCAAGGGTTTACTGTGGCTCTAACACCAAGGTCTAGTTGAACCTAACCAGATTCCTTGCTTTTCCCAAGGTGGAACTGGTTGAATTAACTACAGATTGTTTGAGGTTTTGAATTGAAGAGTTTTAAGCTTGGCTTACCAATTTTTTGTGATTGTGAGTTGAAGGATTGTGAGGTTATGGCTAAAGAAATTATGATGTGATGATCAAAGATTGTAAGCTGAGGAATTGTGAAAAACTGTGCTAAAATAACAAAGTCATAGCTACATAAGTGTGATTGTGAAATGACTGTGATGTTGTGTCTGTATAAACTATGATGCTTAAATGTGCATAACACCCCATGGGTAATGGTGTGTGTTATATTGATGTTGTGAAACAAAATTCATGTCGTTCTTGTTGAGACAAGATGGAGGGATGAAGTTGAGTATTTAGTACCACCCATGGCAATTCAAAATTTCTCAAAGAAGACAAAAGAGCAAATTACTTTTATTGTATTGCCTACTCAAGAGTTTAGAGATGTTTTGGAATAACTAGGTTCTAAAGATTTAGGCTTTGCTCTATTTGCTTGAGGAGAGCACATATTCTATTAAGCTCCAAGTATCTATCTTACCAACAGTGTATATTTGTTGAGAAATTAATAACCTATATGTACCTTTTACATTGTAGTGTTAGGTAAGATGTAAAGGTTGTTTGTCATGTATTATGTGTCAAGACCCCCAACAAGATCAAGATTGGAAAATGCAAAAGACAAAGAGAAAAACTAGTGGAAACAAAGAAGAGGCTTTAGACTGGTGTTGATTCAGATTGTGGAGAAATGGAACAAGGCTAACCTATATATACTATAGGTTGATGAAGCTCCACCACTCTTGAATCATGAACGGCCTAAATATAGCTAAGGTCGAGGAGGCGCCACATCAATATCAGGAATGTGGCTCGAGACTCAGGAATCGTACAGGGAATCAAAGAGTCAGAAATAGGGAAGTGTCTCAAGAGTCAGGAATAGGGAAGTGTCTCAAGAGTCAGGAATAGGGAAGTGTCTTGAGAATCAGGAATGTGGTCTGCAGGTCAGGAATCCGGCGAGAATCAGGAATGTGGCAAGAATTGGGGGATTCCTGACAGCACCCCCTCCTCAAGAACGAGTGGAACGAGGGTGTGAATGAGAACGACGAGGAGGATGAGATGAGCGGCGAGGGATGGGAGATGGAAAAAAAGAATGAGGACTGGGACGAGAAGGATAGCGGCGGTGGAAGTCCTGAACAAGGTCAGGAGAATGAATCAGGTTATCCGCAGGTTCCCAAGTGCGTTCTTCAGGTCCGTAACCTTTCCAGTCGACCAGATAGTAGAGTTTAGACCGTGAAATCTTGGAATCAAGGATGTCCTGAACCTCATACTCAGACCCATCCTCGAGTTGCACTGGTGGAGGTGGAGGAATGACCTGATTGGGAATAGGACTGGGAATATAAGGCTCAAGGAGAGAGGAGTGAAAAACGGGGTGAATTTGATATGAGGAGGGTACCAGAAATATCCATCGGGACCGGAGCAGTAGGTTCAGGAGTATGCCCCGAAGACTCAAGCTGGGATTCCTGAGTCTGGGACGGAAAAACAGCGGCGCGGCGACTTTCCTGACGACGTTCAAAGAGACAATTGTCACATCGAACAACTTTGTTGATGGCGTCCGGCAGGTCCTTGGGATCCTCCATGGTGAGCAACAAATCCTTGACACCGTTGTTGAGGCCGAAACAAAATTGGTCAATCAGAGCCCACTCATCCCACTGAGTGTCCAAGGCAAGGAGTTGGAACTTTGCAGCGTAGATCGAGGCAGGACAAGACCCCTGAGAAAGATGTCTCATCTTTGTGGTAGCAGCCCGAACTCGATCTGTCTCGCCAAAACATACTTCGAGCTTCTCTTTGAACAATTAAAGATCCATCAGCTCCGGAACCACAACCCCTTTCACGCTCTTCTCCAAAAGAGGAGAAAACCATGACAAAGCTGCACCTTCGAGCAACATCCCAATCGCGCCGATTTGAGACTCGGGAGTGGGGTACCGCCGATGTTGAAGTGTAAAGATCAGCTCCATTTGGTTCAGAAATCCGCCAAGCTTCGAACGCTTGCCTGGAAATTTCGCCGGGAAACTCACCTTCGGTTTAGGAACTTTGCTGGATCCTTGAGCCGAAAGTGAAGCAAGCTCCTACTGCATGCGAAGAAGGGTCACCTTCAGCTCGGTATTCTCAGACTGGATTTTTGCAAGGACTGCGGCAAAGAAATCAGGATGGCTTGGAGACTCCATCGGCAAGAAGAAAGAAAAAAAAGGAAAAAAGACAAAGGCAATCAAACAATCAAAACGAGCTAAAGCAAAAGCAAAAAACACAATCTGAATCAAATTGTCAAGACCCCCAACAAGATCAAAATTGGAAAATGCAAAAAACAAAGAGAAAAGCTAGTGGAAACAAAAAAAAAGCCTTAGACTGGCGTTGATTCAGATTGTGGAGAAATGGAACAAAGCTAACCTATATATACTATAGGTTGATGAAACTTCACCACTCTTGGATCGTGGACGGCCTAAATATAGCTGAGGTCGAGGAGGCACCACATCAATATCAGGAATGTGGCTCGAGACTCAAGAATTGTACAGGGAATCAAAGAGTCAGGAATAGGGAGGTGTCTCGAGAGTTAGGAATAGAGAAGTGTCTTGAGAATTAAGAATGTGGTCTGCAAGTTAGGAATCCGGCGAGAATCAAGAATGTGGCAAGAATTGGGGGATTCCTAACATTATGCATATGAAAATTTATGGGATATTTATTAGATCTTCAATAACTTCACTAAACTCCACCAAACCATACAAACATTATGTTAACTTTCTATGCCATAGATCTCCTAAGATAATCACCTAAGTCTCAACCCATGCCCTTAATTATGGCTAGCTTTGGTTATAAATTAGATTTTTCTCTTTATAAAATATTTCTTTGAATATTTTTGGGTTCTTTATAAAAAATTTTGCTCCAAATACAGTATCATAACTAAATAATATGTTTTTTTTTAATTACAACATTACTTGTGGTATAGAGCCATGGGTTGTTAATTTATATCAAACATATAGCTGCTTACAAGACTTTATCAAAATCAATTTAATTCTCATTACGAAAAAAAGAATTTTGAGTTAATTTACATGAGAAATTAGATATACATAATTTTGACACAAATTTGAAGCAAACCTGGAAAGGAACTATACTCATAGTAGGAACTTCAACATCCATAAAAATTAAATTAACAATGATACAAAACCATTTCAAACACTACCGGTAAAAACAATTTAAACCAATCACTACATTCCACATATGATGCTAAGAAACATGGCAAAGAATCTTATGAATTCTTAGGTTAAGGGTTAAACTTCAATAAATACCCTTTAATTAGGCACTACAAAAGCTTCAAAGATATTTATTATTATTGAAAAACATAAGGTTTCACATGAATAAAGTTTCAGCAGTTTGAAACTTTCTAATTAGTAAACATTAATTAGATAGGCTCGCATGTTCCAACAGGAATGCCTCCAATGTTAAAGCCTGCAAGGGCACAGTGGCCTTGGCAACAATCACTATCCTTCGAGCATCCTTCAAGAACATTTTTACATCCTTGAAGAAGTTTTCTGGTGACAATGCCATTCTCACCTGGAAAATTTGGTAGAAAACTTTGTGGCTCAAGATTAAATTTTTAACTTACCTATTGCAAGAGTCATTGAAACCAGAAGACAGAGGAACAAAAGCTGCAAAACTATAGACGAGAGTTGAATCTTTGCCATTGTGTTGTGTGAATTGTGTTATACCTTCCAATCCAATAGGCTGGCTTTTATACTCTGGGCTATGGGATAAATTAGTGATGGTGTGGATCATGAGGTTTGACTAAAGCTCATCCTTGCGTTTCACAGCTGGTTTAGCACAATATTAAGGTAAAAGACATGTCTTGAAATCATGTAAGCACTGCCTGCACAGGTTGGAACTTGGAATCCTCCAGTTCACGTTTCTTTATTAGCTTAAAATACATATTAAGACAGATGCAGTGGCCTACAAACAAGCATGGTGCTACTTTTCTAGTGACATTGCCCGGAAATTCTGTTAGAAACACACCAGTAAATGGATATCTTATAGTTGTTTAGAGCTTAAAATAAGTGATAGTGTGGATCACGAGGGCTGACCTTTTTGAATACTCTAAACTGTCCTTGTGTTTCACAGCTCTCTGGAATCCTAATGTTTAGGGACTCCATGTGGGCTCTGCCCGCGCTCACAAAACTAATCTCAAAACCAGTGTGCATAGTTTCTTCACGTTTGCATGAATTTTTCAACATGCGGCCACGACTGTGATGACCCCTTTTTTGTAGCTATACACCATATACAATTTCTATCTATCTTCCGTTTATCATGTCTTGTAGAGCTCATATTCTGAGGTCTAAGTAGAACAAGTGCACTGGCGGTACGCAATTGCAAAGCATTTCAAAGATACGCATATACGGATCGCAGAATGTTTGGATTAGGATTGGAGCTGTGGAGCCAACTAAATCCCCCAGAACAAGATATGTGATAATCCTGCATACACGGCACTGGCAAATTAGCAGCTCGTGGTCAGAACGCCAAAGCAACGACAAAGGAAGAAAAGCGAACCTTCTTGCGAAGAGGGGATCCAAGGGCCGTTTCTGAACTCGCTGTGGATCCCGTATGTGAGATAGTACAGGGCGTAAGAAGTCCACGAAAATGTAAGACAGTAGCGAGTGTCCAGTGGGAAAGAAGTACCTTCTTTCGTTGGATGGTCATCCAACTCTATGAGGGTTTATGTCTTGGAGGATCTGTATCTTTGTTTTAAATGTGGTGGCATTTACGTGTTAAAAGATTAAAGGTGATTGTATAGATACATTACTTTATAAATGTTTTAAAGGCCCACACAGGACCTGTAATTTGTATAGATGTCCAGGTGGAGTGTCTTAGTTTGAGCAAGGGTGTCTTGATGATGTTGTATATGTCTAGAGTTTTGTTTGAAGTTGGCGACAGTGTGGTTCGAGGATGGACAGCAACTCGTTGCAGAGGCATGTTGTTATTAACAGGTATTTGCTGAATCTGACGTCTTTCTGTTGAAGCAGAAGTGGGAGCAGCATTGTGAAGTCGAGGAGTGGCTCAGAAGCTCGCTGTTGGTTGTAAGCTATTGAACAGGTTCAATCTCTTGAGCACATAAGTAACAGATGTGCCTCTCCCATGGCATTTTGTGTGCGTCCCAATTGCTGACCTCAGAGGGAAGATGCTGGCCTGTTTTCTATCGTGCCAAAATTTTGTGATGTTTCCGTCCCATAAGCCTTCCCACCCCAGTTTTCCGATCCCTGTTGATCGTCGAGATGTAGTAGTGAAACCTTTGATCATGATCCGCACCTTGGAGCCACCATTGAAATGCTCGTTGAAGCCATTGTGCTGGGACATAGGCAATGTTTTTGTATTCCAGATTCGGAAGGTACTGTTTTGTGTTCCTCCACACATAGACCTCGATTGGGAGTATACCAGATTCCACCAATGGGTACCTTGTTGCCATCCAAACTCAATATTGAGGAACTAGTGATTTAGTTGCTCCATTTTCTTCCATACAGTTCGCGGCAAGCCAGGGCTCAAGCCTGACCTCCATATGTCAATATGGTGATGACTTTGGTGTGAGCATTGTCTGCAGGTGTCCCATCTAAAAATGCCAGCTTGCTTGAGATCACTTTGGAGTGCATAGTAGGCATTGGTGGCACTTTGAATTTGCACCATGTAACCAAAAGTACTCGACACTAACAAGCACTTAGTTTTCATAGTGAAGATCACCAGCCTTCTGTTTTTACAATTAGCGCAACCAAGGATCATGGTCCGTGTTTTTGTGAGATTTATGGACAAGCAAGTAGAGCACTCACAGCCAAAAAGCCAGCTGTAACAAGCAATGTCACGCCTTCTCCGTCCTACCTACATACACATGCATAAGAAACCACCAAAATTGAAAAAAGAAAAGCTTACCGACTGACATAAAAACACTCAAACATAACAGCAACATTCACGACTTCTCCCCTATCAAAGCGTCCCTTGCACTTTTGATAAATCTGTACAGCCTATATCACACGGCATCCTGATTAAGAAAACTATAAAAAAATCCATCCAAACTCAACATTTGGAGCGAGCAACCAAGTTCGAACCGGTTTGTCGACCACCTTTCTTCACCTACAAGAGGCCCTGATACCGTACCATTGAGTCCTCGAGAAGCGCGCACTGGTCTTGGCTCGCTCTAGATCCCCTGCTCGTGTCCATCACTGCCTTGAGCAAGCTCATCTGAGGTCTCTCTTGCCAAGGAACTCCAAAATTCTACTCAATCCAGTCGGATCCAAGAACGAACCCGATGAGAATGGAAAGCAGCCGAGACTCTCCATCGCCGGGGGCGCCCCGAGATAGAGAAGAAATATCTAAAGATGTGTGGAAATTCTCCCATATTATTGATGAATCAAAGAATCGCTCAAACAAATCGAATCGCTGGAGCCTCTAGAACCACGGAACCTATCGAATCAGTAGTGTGGGTGGCAGACCTGGCTAAAAGCGAAGGGCGCGACCTTGTAGAAGACCTCGTTCTTGAAGGTCTTGAGGTACGCAACGCCGGCGCCCTCCTTGCCCTTGCCCACATTGGTGATGATATCGCAGCTGTAGTCACTCGACTTGACGAGCTTGGCCGTACACGTCTTGGTCTTGGCCACGTACGGCAGCTTCACCTGGTAGAACCCGTCATTGTCCGTACTGTCGCTCCCCTTGACCACTGCGCCCTTCTCGTTCTTGCACTCCACGGCCACCTCGCCACCTTTTTAGGTTCATACCACAATGTTACGATCTTCCTAGCGTATTCTCTTGTATACGTACCGACAATGTGCTTCGTCCATTGGCCGTAGCAGCCCTGGCAGTAGACGTATCCCTGAATGACGGTGGTATCGACTTCGTAGTGCTGGGGGTAGCCGTAGTCGTGGCCGTATTTGGGCTCCTCGGGTGCCTTGGATGGGACTTCGGGGACCTTCTTCACCTCGTCCACCACCTTGTGTGGGACGTCGTATGAATCCACTGCGAGGGCGCACACTGCGAGGGAGAGGGCGAGCAGCAAGATCAAACTCTTGTTGGAAGCCATCGCTAGCTTGTTTGATCTGGGAGAGAGCTACTTAAGATGATGGAAAAGCTAGAAAGAACGAGATTGCTTGATACTTCCAAGCTCTTGAGGTTTGTGGTTTTATATCCATGCGAGACGTGATATCATGCCATGATTTTTTCTACCAGATCAAGTAAAACTTGTACCGATACTGGGAGAAGCAAGGTGTTATGGAGATTTGTGGCCACGTTATGGTCGTGCAATCACATTCTTTCCACGTCCCACTTTCTAGCCCGAGGGCTGCTTAATAAGATCAGAACATAGCAAGGCGATCGCGAGCAAGAAATGGGTGCTACAAAGATCCTGGTTCTTCTTGGTGGAGTTTTACTCTCAAGTTTGATGGCAGCAGTGGAAGCTCTTGATCCTTACACAGCTCCGGGCAGTTCGCAAAGAATCAACGCCACCGTTGTTCAAGGCTACGTTTTCTGCCAGAATTGCTACAAGGACTGGAGCAGACATCTGGGAGGTGTGTTATGTTTGATCAATCTTACTTCGCTTGCTATGGACTTATCTTTTCCACTCCATCCAGGGGCTGAGGTTTCTGTAGAATGCACGGCGATTTCCACCGGCAAGCTCGTCGCCCTCGGCAAAGGAATTTCCCGCGAGAATGGCTACGTGGAAATCCGGTTGGATGGGTACGACTACAGCAGCAAGCTCAAGATCCACCGCTGCCTGGCGAAAATCGTCCGCTCACGGGACCCATCTTGCGATTATCGCACGAATGTAAATTCTGGATACAGCGGCGCCAAGCCCCAGTTCTCCGGAGTCGCGGGAAACATGGCCTATTTCACTACAAATGCGTTTTCTTTCACTCCAATGTGCTCCTATTGATCAATAGCTTCTATGAATTCGCTCAATGCGGCAAGAACCCTAACAGCTTCATTTGGCGGCAAATTTTATTGAAAAACTTCTTTTTGTGAAATTTAGGGTTCTTCGTCTTCGTCTGTACAGTAGGGCGTGAAAGCAAATGGGCCGGTTTTGTAGAACGCTTCGCCCATGAAAATCTTCTCGAATTCCAGCGCCGCTCCCTTCTTGCCGCCTCCAAGATCCGTGGCTGTGTCGCACGACCGATCGGGCGACGCGAGGATCATCGCCTTGCACGATTCGGGGGGATCGTAGACGCTCTTGTAGGTCTGGGGGAATTTGATCTGGAAGAAGCCATCGCGGTTCGATGCGGCCTCGCCGTAGCTCCCATCGCGGCATTCCACTCTCACCAATGCTCCTGGCATCGAGCAGATCGAGCAGAGGAATAGATCGAGCAAAGGAATCGACACATACCTGGGGAGGGCTTGTCGAAATTTCCATCACAATCCTGGCAGGAGACAAATCCTTGCACGACAGTCGTGAGATCAGTGGATGTTTCTTCCTGATCATCGCCATCCTCTGAATACTCCCCAGCAGCACTGGCATCGCCGAGAATCAATAGAAGAAGAAAGGCGTAGAGGAGCTGCATTGTCGAGGATAGAGCGAAGAATCCATCACGGAGCTTAAATCTTCGCAGTGGGAGGATCGTGCCATGACGAAGATCGTGAGAACATAAGAACCCTAGGCCTAGTAACAAGGAATAAATATTTGACTTCTTTGCTTGGTTTGCACTCCATCCGGCATCCTAGGGTTTTGTGTCGCTGCGAGCTCGGCAATCGATCGTGTGCGGCCATGGAGGGAGGCGGGACGCTTGTGGATTTGTGCCTGGAAGCGGCATCGCGGAGCGCTGACAGTGTGAGATCTTGGCGTAGGCAGAGACGAACTCTGGAAATTTTACCGGCTCATCTCGCGGAATCGTTGCTTCATCAGCTACTTGTCAAGAATCTCTTCTCGCCTCCACTTCTAGAGTAAGCACAAGAATAGAAACGATCGATCTATAGAGAAACTCGTTTTAGCTTACACTCTTTTTTTTTCATAGGCTCTTCCAGTTAAGTGTCGAGGAACTGGATCTAAATGGAGAACTCAGTGTTGATGCCGAATGGATGGCCTACATCGGTGGATTTCGGCATTTGCGAGTTCTCAAAGTCGAAAGTTGCAAAGCCTTGAACAATTCAGCGATATGGCACCTCTCAGGCAAGCTCCATTTCTCTTTTGAAAGAAGACTTAGTTTTGCGGTTGGAATGTAGGAATGGAATCGATCGAGGAGCTACGAGTTGATCGTTGCTCCAAGATAACAAACCAAGGATTGGAACACATATTAACCCTCGGCAAGCTCAAGCACTTGGGACTCTCAGAAACGGGGATTGGAGAGCAAGGGATTGGAAAGTTGGCTGTTCTTAGGAACCTGTCTCATTTGGATCTTGGCGGCTTGCCTGTGACAGACTCTCATGTTTCTTCGCTTCTGGTAAGCATGTATTCTATAACAGAAATAGATTTTTGATCGACTTGCAAAAGTACCTTCCAGGTACTTCAACACTTGATCGACCTCCAACTCTGGGGTAGCAGCATAACAAACGAAGGAGCAAATATGCTGAAGGGCTTTCCCAGGCTGGAAATACTGAACCTGGCATGGACAAAGGTTTCGGTGGTTCCCTCCATGCCGAGAGTGTCACAGCTGAATCTCTCTCACTGCGTGGTTCTATCGGTTTCCGAAGAAGGGTCAGCTCTCGATCAACTTCGTCTGTCCGGAGCAACTATGCAGGATCCACTCAGAGTCCTCCACAGTCACTCACTCCCCGAGCTCTCCGTGCTCGAGTTATCTGCGACCAACCTGGCAGCTTTGACCTTCCTTGGCAGCTTGAAGCGAGTAGTCAAGCTCGATCTGAGCTCAATGCCAAGCGTCTCGAGTGACACCATGAATCTGCTGGCCAAGTGTGCGAGGAATCTAAAACACCTTGATCTCAGTGACACACGAGTTGGCTCAGAAGGCGTAGCAGTTTTGACTGGTCACGTTCCAGCTCTGGAGCATCTTTCACTCAGGGGCACCTCGATTACGGATAGTGTGTTTGGTTACTTGGGGCTGATGCCGTCGTTGATTGACATTGACCTCAGTAACACGAGCTTGACAGGTATGCCAGTTTTCGAGTTTACGAAAGTTTCTTATACTTGTGCTTTGTGCATGCAGGCGCTCCTGTAGACTCTTCGTTTTGGTCTGTGCTTCATCTCCAGCAGCTCCACAACCTGAGACGATTGGACTTGCGTCGCACGCGATTTTCTGATAAGAGCTGCAAGCGACTCGCTTGTTTGGTGCGGTTAACACACCTGCTCTTGTGCGCCGAGTTTTTAACCGATGCATCGCTTCACGAGCTTTCTGCTCTCCCGAACCTGCGAAGCCTTGCGTTTCAAGGGACAGTGTTGACAGACGCAGGCCTGCGCTCGTTGAAGCCGCCGCTTCTGTTGGAAGAGCTTGATCTGACGGACTGCTGGCTACTCACGGAAGGCTGTCTTCTTCAGTTCTGTGATTACTATCGCAGCGTAACTGTGAAGCACGATCGTATAGCTGGAAACCTTAACTCTCAACGGTCATCGGTCAGACGGATGCAAGTCAAGAACCCGCATGTTCCAGTGAAGACGCAGGGTAAAATTGGAAGAGGTACTTGAATTTGACTCGCAAGGAAAACGTTCACTTACGAAATGTGTGTTCCAGATGAACGGATTCGATATACATTCTCTGAGCTGCACGAGTTAAGAGGCTTAACGTCAGAAGTGGCCGCCTGGGAAATGAGTACCTTACCTCGAGAACTTTCACGAACTTTACAAGATGAGGATCACATCGAGCCATCGTCGAGCTGAGCCCCACGCTGAGTACTTATGAGAGATGCTGTACACGTCCGTAAAGCTCTAGCGTGTCCGAGTGGGTCGGATCAATGGACAAAGCAGCGCGGCAGTCACGGAGAGCGTCTGATATTTCTCCGCTGCATTCATGAAAAGCGGCACGGAGGTGGAGAAGCTGTAAGTCGGCCTTGAAAGCTATGGCTTTTGAGAGCTCGGCTATGGCTTCTCGATCTCGCTGGCTGTCCATAGCAACTGGAGAAAAACGATGGAACAACCAAGTAAGTTTCAAGTAAAAAAGCTGTCTGTAGTTTCTGATGCGATGACGTACCTGCTGCTCGGTATCTGTATGGATAGGTCCGGAGCGGATCAATTTGCGTCACCATGCTTAAGTCGGCCATGACCAGATCGCGATCACAGTACTCAGCTCGCTTTTCATATGCCGACGCGTTATTCATCGACTTTTCGATCAACTTTGTCATCTCATCAAAAGCGGATTTGCGGTCTCCCTGCAAGAAATAGACACGAGCCAGGCCTTGATGAGCTCGAGTGTGCCGAATCTTCAGTGCGTTGACGTAGCAGTCCAGAGCTTGCTCCAGCTTTCCACAATCGACATAGACGCTTCCCAAGTTGTTGAGAGCCTGCGGTCGAGAAGTTATGTCAAGCTTTCGACGGACGTGTTTTGTACCTGGCCTTTGCGAAGCCCGTCGGACGGACACTTGAGCGCTTCTTCCAGCAGTCCAATAACTTTGGTGGACGCTGTCGGATCCAAACTGGTGTCTGCCAGGGCGTATGCTTTGAGAAAGAAAGCTTCGAAGGATCTCTGGAGGGATATAGACTCCTCCGCCTTTCTGAGTGCTTCTTGGCGGTGTCCAGTATCGTAAAGAAGCCATCCTTCGTAGACGAGCTTTTCCTGGTTGTTATCGGCGTGCTCTCGAGCCAGCCTCAAGCTTCTCAACGCGGCCTTTGGACAACTTAGCCTGTGCACAAGCAAGTATTTACATATTCAACCAGTCAGCTCGTAGAAACTAAGGTGGTGAAAGTTTCGACAGACCTGAGCAGCAGCAGAGATTGCCGGAAGAAAAGCAGGCCTTTCGAAGACTCAGCTTCCGTTTCCAGCATCTGGTGAACGACTGCTAGAGACGATATGTCATCGACAGATGACCAGTGATCATATAACTTCATCCAGCAATCTGCCTTGGTCCACTGCACCACATGCTGCTTGAGAAGATCCAGGAGCTGCGAAGCACAGACGCGTCCAGAGTACATCCTGTACCCAGGATCGAAAGTCAAGAGCGCCCGCAAGTCCCTCACAGCAGCCTCGTAATCGAGCAGCGCCAGACTGAAGTAAACTCTGAGCTCCAGGCAGTCCTTGGTGATGCAGAATCGCAAGACTCGACTTATCTCCGTGATAGCCTCGTGAACTTTCTTCTCGTCCATCAAGACCGCAGCTCGGTACTTGTAAGGATACGTCAGAGTTGGATCAAGCTCGGTGGCCGTGTTGAGATCCGAGAGCTTGTCATGGCCGAGACAGTACAGGGACTTCTCTTCGAACATCCAGCCGCTGTTCTTGTAGCAAGCGATGATGCTCGCGGCTTCCGAGTAGGCCGCCATCCTGTGACCTCGCATATACTTCACTCTCGCGACACCGGCCAGCGAGTATATGTGGCCTTCGTCAGCGGCAGCCTCGAAGAACTCGTGAGCTTCTTTGTACTGCTTCCTGGCGAGCATCGAGCAGCCGAGCTGGTGCAACGCGAGAGCTCTCTGCCTGGACGACACCGCACAGTCTTTGGCGAAGTGGAGCAGCTTGACCGTCATGTCGGACGAGAAGTCGTCGTCCATGGCAGCTTGGCCGAGCAGGCAGTAGAGAGAAAACGACGAGTGGCCGACCGCCGACAGCCTCTTGCGCCCATCCTGCGTGGAAAACAGCTTGGACACCGGGGCAATGTACAGCGACTTCGGCAGCTCTCGCAGGAAGACTTGCAAGCAGGCTCCGACCAGGGACTGGGCGTTCTCGTCGAGAGCGCAGTCGAGAAAGGTGATGGCGTCCTGGAGGGTGTGGACGCACGTAGCCAGCCGCTGGTCGCAGGCCTCCTTCAACTTATCGCAGAAGAACTTGTTGGCGAACGTCATGACTTCGATGACGACGGTGGGGGAGGGCCTGCCGATGGTTCCCGTGCGAGCAAACTTGTCCACGGCTCTCATCCCCATGGCCGAGATCCCGTTCCTGGAGAACTCGATGTTGGTCCTCCTCGACTCGGTGAAGCAGCCGTTGAGCATGGCGTCGAAAGGCAGGCTGAGAGCGGCCATCTTTTGCCGGTTGCAGTAAATCCGATCACCCTCTACGTGGAAGACTACGTCCGAGAAGTGCCACCTCTCGTGCTGCTGCTGCTGCTGCTGCTGCTCGTCCTCATCGCAGTAATCTAGAGCTAGGCAGGGGATATGATCGGCCAACCTGGTGGAAGTAGCGGCAGCTCGGTGACTAGCGCTCTCGCCCGGGTTCTCATCGAGCTCCTCACCCCGCCTCTCGAACTTGAGCCAGGCAGCGATGACGAGCTTGTGGTGATTGGTGGTGGCGTGCTGGCGAGCGAGACGGAGGCTCCGGCGGAGGAGCTTGAGCTCGCCGAGGCCACGGAAGACGAACGACTGCTCCAGGTAGAGTCGAGACTTTTCTTGGTTGGATGTAGCAACGCCTAGCTCTTTATGGATTTCAGCCAGCGTCGAGACGTAGTCCACGGGCTTGAAGTTCGGATTGATGGGTGGATCTGCGAGCTTCGGAAGAAACATGCTGGAGGAAGGAAAACAATCACAATCAAAAAGAGCGAAGAACAAGGTGAGAATTTGTCTATCCATTGAGAGAGCGGAGAGAGCTTACCTTTGGGAGGAGTCCTTTTGATGGACAGGCTTCGATGCCGCTGTTGGTGCTGGCTTCTCCGACGATGCGACATGGAGGATGTGGATATCCTTGCAAATTCCCATTGCTGCGAAAGCACAGCCAAAGAAATGCTGCTCTGCTCGCTCACGCCATCGCCCTCCAAGTTCTATCGCTCATCGCCTTCCGAGCTCTATCCAGATTGAAGAGAAGAAGCGGTTTGAAACTCATCGCAGGACAAAGGGTCCGGGAAGAACCCCAGAAGATAAAAGAGGAAGAAGAGACCCAAAAGCTAACCAGATAGACAAAATGAGAAAGAGGAAGTAGCCAGAATGTGGGTTCTTTGTTGGAACCATTTTAAATGCTGCGAGCAGATACCCAGTCTGGGCATCTGGCTGCTCAACGACACTCTCGCAAAAGCCACAAAGGGCTTTGAATTCTCGCCATAGCTAGCTTGCTCGATAGAGAGAAAACAAAACAACACACGTCAAGCCCGTCATACCCGTCAGACAATTTCGTACACAGTGTGTACGGCCAGATTAATTTTCCAGCTGGCCAATGTGATTTGATCTCCCATCTATCTTGCTTTGTTTGTTCTTGCGGTATTGTCAGCGAATTTAGACAAGGTAGTGATCTTTGAATGCTCCATTCAATGGTCGTGAAGTTCGTTGCTGGAAGTATTTTACGTGTTTAAAGTGGAATGCGACGGAGACATTCTCGTGTGTGTGCTGTACATGAAAGAGTTTGAATCTGGCCGCTGGATTAGAATCGCATCCAACGGCGGAGGTTCGTTAGGGCTTTAGAACACGTGGCTAGGGATTATCTTTGAATCGACGGCGGAGATTCAAGCAATCTAGGCGCCCTTGTTTGTGTGGTGGTGTTGGCTATGGCGGCCATTGGACGAGCGTGTGGATTTCCGCCGGTCGGGCTTGCGGCGCCGATCTCTCGCAGGAATTCCGCGCACTGGATTGTTACTCGCAGCGGCAATGGCGCGGCGATCAGGCGTGTCATTGTGAGAGCGGCTGGGGTTGATTTGGATGCGGCAGCTCCGGCGGCAAGCTCAGGAACCAAGAGCAAGGAAATTGCTCCTGATAACAGCTGGTCGATCACAAAGGTGTGTTGACTTTGATCTTTCTTGCCGATTGGGAAACATTGTGTTGATTTTAGACATCTTTTGGAACAATTGGACTCTTTCTCGGCTCAGGACTTCTCTCGTAAGCTTCAAGTTACAAAGAAAGTATCGGTTGATATGAATTCTCTTTTTTTTTTTTGTTCTTTCGCATATGAAGATATGGTTTTGGCGCATACTTTACCATTCTACCAGGATCAGAATGGTCCTCGTTGATGCTAACGTATGGATTTCCACTCGCGATCATTGGAATGGCGCTCAAGGTATATTGTCATGCATGAAGCTGGAGCTTTAATCTTTGTTTGGAACTTTTCAGTATGCTGAGCTCAAGCCCGTGCCTTGCACAACTTACGCGGATGCTCTGGCATTGAGAGAATCACAAGCGACTCCAATTCTCAAGCAGGTAAAAAGGAAAGTTTTCTTCGTTTCCTTTTTTAGATGGTTTCGTTCGTGATGCTTGAACAGGTTAGAGAAGACGTGATCCGGTATAGATACGGAGATGAGCAGCACCTGGAAGAGGCGCTCAAGAGAATTTTTCGCTACGGCCAGGTATAAAAACTAGCCAATTCCTCTCAGTCAGGTACAGCAGCATTCTCAACACTTGCGAGTATAAACTAAAAATCGAGAGGCTCAATTCGCAGGGAGGAGGGATCCAAGCTCGCAATGGCCCAGTTCTCCAATCCATTCGCGAGGAAGTGAGTGACCAAGGCAAGTACACGCTCGTCCTCGTCTTCAAAGCCAAGGCTCTCCAGCTCGAAGATTTTCTCACTCGTCAAGTAAGCGAACTTTTCTTGGTTGCCACAAATCACATTTGTTTTGTTTCTTTCAGGCCAAATTCACATCTTTCTTCGGCCCCGGGGTGACAGCCAACATTGGTAGGAGTTTTCTCGTGTTCTTGAAAGTTTTTAATCCTTCTTTACTATCGCAGAATCGACCGGCGATAGCGTCTTCGAAGTGAAATTGATTGCTGATGGTGGAACTGTATAAAGTAATGTAAGTAATACTTTGTGTAAAGATTGTATTTTTCTCTATAAATTTCACCGAGTTTGGAAATTTGTACAGAATTAAATTCATATGAAGCTTACATCGGCCGAAATTTCAGCACCTAGAGTTGCGATTCAGGCAATTCCAGTGCTATGAATCAACAGGGGAAAGAAAGTCTCACAATTCTCGCAATTTCTCTCCAACCGAGTGAAGTTTACCTTCAAAGAAAAGGAGAATGGGCAAAGAAACCCTCGCAAAGTTTCTCCTTGATAGTCGCTTCATGGGTTTCATGGAATGTGATAATCTACAGAGAGGATGTCGTTCGTGTTCTTCCACCTACAAGTTTTGAAGAAGATCATCCCTGCAGCAGATCCCTTGGTAATCTTTCTCCTCCATGTTTGGTTTGCTACCTTCCTGTGGATCTGAAAGCTCATCCTCTCGACTCTCACTTATGTCCACTGGGAGTTTGGAGACTCCACACCACGTTGCAGCCTCGAAGAACGGCGAGAATCATTTAAGATCAGAGAGTCGATGGAAGTTCCGTGTGGATTCGCCAGGCCGGAGTCCTACCCGGGAGAAAGGGCTCCGGATTCGAGATCCAGGAGGAGGCCGACATGGATTACCTCCAAGGATGCAAGGGAATCGTCGTAGCCTCTGCGATTTTCGGCGACTATGACGTGTTGAAGCCGCCCGCCAACTTGAGCAGCACCAGCACCAGCGTCGCAATGTTTGTGGACGACGAGACCCTGAAAACTCTCCAGAGAGAAAGAGCTGAAACCGGGGCCTGGAGGATCATCCGCGTACGAAGCGCCACATACGGGCGAGACAACCGATCCAAGGGAAAGATTCCAAAGATGCTGCTGCACAGGCTCGTCCCAAACGCGCGCTTCTCCATCTGGATTGATGCCAAGCTCCAGATAGTAGTGGATCCCATCCAGATGCTCGAGAGATTCCTGTGAAGGAGCGGCGATACCATGGCCATCGCCAACCATTACGTGCGCTCGGATGCGTTTGACGAGGCGAAGGCGATCATTCGATACAAGAGGTACGACAACAAAACCAAGCTTGATGCGCAGATGGAGTTCTACCGTACGCAAGATGGTCCCGTCCCGTACGACCGCGCCACCAGGATGCCGCTGGTGACTGACGTTCCTGAAAGCTGTGTGATCATCAGGGAGCACACTCCGATCGCGAATCTGTTTTCGTGCCTCTGGTTCAACGAGCTCGACAGGTTTACACCGCGTGATCAGGTGAGCTTTGCGGTGGTGCGTGACAAGATCATCGCGCAAGTGCCATGGCGGATCACTGTCTTTCAGGATTGTGAGAGGCGAAACTTTGTGTGGACAACACCGCACAAATAATTCAATCCCATTTGTAATTTGACACATAATAAATATGTTTTTGACATATAAGAAATCTAACTCAAGACTTCAAGGGAATTTTCCAAATCATTCATTCATTCACATACTGTTTACACAATCTTGCTAGTGTAAAGCATGAGACCAAAAGATTCATTTTGAAGACTGTTGTAATCATTTGTAAAACTTAGTTGTAATTTGGTTTATTAAAAAAATGTTGATTTAAAGCTCTACTGTTTTAGGTTTTTAGGGTTTACAGGCAAATGGCGAGCGAGCAAATCCAGCGCTCCCAGCAATCGCAGCAGCCACTGCAGCAGCCGCTGGCGATCGTGAGCAGCAGTGGCGGGAGCGCGCCTGGCTCTTCGGAGAAGATCAATTTCAAGGCACTGCACGTCCGGGAGTTCTCGGGCCACAAGAAGAAGGTTTGTGGAGACTTCTTCTAGGAGAAATTTCAAGCTTTGTTCCTGCCAGGTACATTCTGTGGCCTGGAATTGCACGGGAAAGAAGCTCGCGTCTGGCTCCATCGATCAGACTGCTCGCATTTGGCATGTGGAACCTCACGGGCATGTAAGTTCTTTTTCTTTGGCGCTCGAAATCCTCTTTTATGTTTTCGTTTCTTTGTATCTGACAGAGTAAGAACACAAATTTCTTCGTGCTCACGGATTTTTCTTTTCCGTTCTTTTCTTTCTTTTTTCTTTTCAGAGTAAGAACAAGGATATAGAACTTAAAGGACACAGTGATAGCGTCGATCAGCTGTGCTGGGACCCCAGACACGCCGACCTTCTTGCGACAGCGTCCGGGGATAAGACTGTTCGTCTCTGGGATGCTCGCAGTAAGTATAGCGATTGATCTTCTATTTTCTCGTCAGCCCACTCACTCAATCGTTTTCAGCTGGGAAGTGTTCACAGCAGGTTGAGTTGAGTGGTGAGAACATCAATATCACTTTCAAACCAGATGGAACACACATTGCTGTCGGTAACAGGGTAAGCCAGTGACAATGGAATCCTTTCTTTTGGCTCTCTTCCAACCAAGATCTACCTGCAGGACGACGAGCTTACCATTATTGATGTTCGTAAGTTCAAGCCTCTCCAAAAACGAAAATTTGCCTATGAAGTAAGAAGCATAAATATTGTTTTGAGGCTCTAAGTACTTGTTTCCACTTCAGGTGAACGAAATAGCTTGGAATAGCACTGGGGAGCTCTTCTTCCTGACAACTGGGAATGGTGAGGTATTTTTCACCTTTGCTCGCGAGCTGCTCAATATTGAGTGTTTCAGGAGGGTTTGGTACTGCAGGGACTGTCGAGGTTCTATCGTATCCATCGCTGCAAACACTCCAGACGCTCATTGGTCATACAGCCGGCTGCTACTGCATCGCTATAGATCCTACTGGCAGGCAGGTTTGCTGCTCGAAATTCCTGTGAAAAGTTCCTCAGCTTTTTTTCCTTTTTTCCCTCTACATTCTCAGATACTTTGCGGTTGGAAGCGCGGACGCTTTGGTCAGCCTGTGGGATGCGTCCGAAATGCTGTGTGTTAGGACCTTCACAAAACTCGAGTAAGTAGCCCAACTTATACTTCTCTTTCGTAAACTTCACATAAACGAACGCTTTTTTCTCCAGATGGCCTGTGAGGACGATAAGCATAAGTCACGACGGCCAGTACCTTGCTTCCGCGAGCGAAGATCTCTTCATTGGAATTGTAAGCTACTTTTTTCTGCTCCCACTTTTCTCTCGCTTCGAGATGGATCAACCTTACGGAAAGCTGTGACTGCCTACCACAGGCGGAGGTGGAAACTGGAAGATCGGTACACCAGATTCCGTGCCGGGCAGCCATGAACAGCGTCGAGTGGAATCCAAAGTACAATCTCCTGGCATTTGCAGCGGACAAGCAAGTCGACAAGTACCAAACCGACGAAGGTATGCACTGCTCATCGGTCTCTCCTTCCGAAAAAAAATCGTTTTTTGTCACAGGTGTTTTTCGAATCTATGGCTTTGAAAGTCCCTGACCAGGATATTCCATTTGTTTGTGAGGAATATTCTGGTAGCTTTGAAGATGTTTCGCGCACATTCTGGCAGCGAATATTCGCGGCTGTGCCCGGACAATATTCCCCCTCTCTCCTCTCTTTCCTGGGTCATGACCCGTCGATGAGTGGAATACCGCCATAGCTAGGGTTGCGCGAGGCGCGTGAGGGCGTGGGCGAGGGTTTGGGCACGGGAATTTTTCCTCTCAAGCGGCGTCGAGCGATTCTCTCTTTGGCGCTTTGCTTCCTCTCGCCGCGCGCGCGCATCTGATGATCCAAACGTTCCTCCTCTTGGTCGCGGTCGTCATCTTCTTCAGGCTGCTTACCAGCGGGTGCGCGCTCACAAAAACCCCTTTGCCATTCTCTGGATCGATATTTTAGGGTTCTTACCTAGGGATTCTTTGGGTGTGTTGATAGGCTCAACGCGGCAATTGCGTCACACCGTATGCTACCCAAAAAGAGAACCGCTGCGACAGGGGAGGAAGGCTCGAGCAAGCAGTCCAAGCGCGTCCGGCCGGGTGATTCCAGCGCCCTAGCGGCACAGCAGTGCGACCTTGTCATGGGAGGCGATGGCGGCACGGCGGCGGTTCCATCGGATGTGGAGATTGACGAGGATTTGCACAGCCGGCAGCTCGCCGTCTATGGCCGCGAGACGATGCGCCGCTTGTTCGGGGCAAACGTTCTCGTCTCGGGGTTGCAAGGGCTTGGCGTCGAGATCGGTAAGCGATTGATAGAAAAATCACGAAATTTCCATTTGATGATCTTTCCTTGTGGCAGCCAAGAACGTGATCTTGGCGGGGGTGAAGTCCGTGACGATTCACGACTCCGGGACGGTGGAGCTTTGGGATCTTTCCTCCCAGTTCTACTTCTCTGAGGCGGACGTGGGGAAGAACAGGGCCTTTGCTTGCGTTGACAAGCTCAAGGAACTAAACAACGCGGTCAATATCTCGGTGCTCACCACCGAGCTCACGGAGGAGATCTTGTCGAACTACCAGGTACTATTCTCTTCGAAATAATTTCTGGAATAGTATGCCAACTTGTATCTCTACCTAGGTGGTCGTGTTCACCGATTCAAGCCTGGAGGAGGGTATCCGATTTAACAACTTCTGCCACAACCACAGCCCACCGATTGCTTTCATCAAGGCAGACATCAGGGGCATCTTTGGGAGCGTCTTTTGTGACTTTGGGCCGGACTTCACCGTGGTGGATGTGGATGGAGAGGAACCACACACGGGGATCATCGCGTCGATTAGTAATGACAACCCGGCTGTTGTCTGCTGCGTCGACGACGAGAGGCTGGAGTTTCAGGACGGCGACTTGGTTCTCTTCAACGAAGTGAAGGGAATGGTGGAGCTAAACGATGGGCGGCCCAGGAAAATAAAGAATGCCCGACCGTATTCTTTCACTCTGGAGGAGGACACGACTGGTTACTGTGCTTATGAAGCCGGGGGGATCGTCACGCAGGTGAAACAGCCAAAGGTTTTGAACTTTAAGACTTTGGAGGAAGCAATTCAAAACCCGGGGGATTTTCTTCTGAGCGACTTCTCCAAGTTCGATAGGCCTCCGCTCTTGCACCTGGCCTTCCGTGCCTTGGATGCGTTCTGTGCTCAAGAAGGACGTTTTCCCGCTCCAGGATCCGGGGAGGATGCACAGGCGCTCATCGCCATTGCGAAGCGCTTGAACGACAGTGCGGGAGATCAGAAGCTCGACAACATTGACGAGTCTATTCTTACGAAGTTCGCAAGTGGATCAAAAGCCGTTTTGAATCCCATGGCTGCGATGTTTGGAGGCATCGTTGGGCAGGAAGTGTTGAAAGCTTGCTCCGGCAAGTTCCATCCTTTGTTTCAGGTGCGCGCTGTCTTTTTCTTGTCCGTGGCGTAGATATTGAGTGCTTTGTTTTGCAGTTCTTTTACTTCGATTCGCTCGAATCCGTTCCATCTGAGCCTCTCTCGGCCGAGGACGCTGCTCCTACAGGTGGCCGCTACGATGCTCAGATAGCCGTGTTTGGGAGGCAGGTGCAGCAGAAGCTGGAAAATGCGAAGGTTTTCGTTGTGGGAGCCGGTGCTCTTGGCTGCGAGTTCCTCAAGAATCTGGCTCTCATGGGTGTAGCCTGCGGGAGTGGAAAGCTTACAGTTACCGACGACGACGTTATTGAAAAGAGCAACCTTAGCCGGCAGTTTCTCTTCCGTGACTGGAACATCGGGCAAGCAAAGTCCACGGTTGCGTCCACGGCTGCTCTGAGCATCAACTCGTCGCTTAACGCTGAAGCTCTCCAAAACCGTATCAGCCAGGATACAGAGAACATATTTGACGACGTCTTTTGGGGTGGCTTGGACGTCGTGATAAATGCTCTGGACAACGTCAAGGCGAGACTTTACGTGGATTCGAGGGCTGTCTACTTCCAGAAGCCTCTCCTCGAGTCTGGAACCTTGGGGCCCAAGTGCAACACGCAGATGGTTATACCGCATCTAACTGAGAACTACGGGGCGTCCAGAGACCCTCCCGAGAAGCAAGCTCCAATGTGTACGCTCCACTCGTTCCCCCACAACATCGACCACTGCTTAACGTGGGCAAGGTCCGAGTTTGAGGGGCTGCTCGAGAAGACACCTTCCGAAGCCAACGCGTTTCTGTCGAATCCGCAGGAGTACAAGTCGTCCGCAAGGTCCGCTGGGGATGCTCTGTCCCGAGAGATGCTCGAGCGCATTGTCGAGTGCCTTGTCATGGAGAGGTGCCACACGTTTGAGGATTGCATCGTCTGGGCGAGGAAAAGGTATTTGGAAATTTGTGTTTCGTTTATCACCACCACCTTACTGTTTTGCGTCATGCTTTCCAGGTTCGAGGACTACTTTGTGAACAGAGTCAAGCAGCTCACGTACACGTTTCCAGAGGATTCAACCACAAGCTCCGGAGCTCGGTTCTGGTCTGCACCGAAACGCTTTCCGCGAGCTCTTCAGTTTTCGTCAACCGATCCTTCTCATCTTTCTTTCGTAGCTTCGGCGGCCATCCTCCGGGCTGAAACGTATGGCATCCCCAGGCCCGTGTGGGTGCTCGACCCGAAGCAACTTGGTGAAGTCGTCGACAAGATCAATCTCCCAGAGTTCAAGCCCAAGCAGGGTGTGAAGATTGTCACCGATGAGAAGGCCACCAACTTGACCGCTTCCAGCTTGGACGACGCTGCCGTCATCGATCAGCTGATTAGCACGCTGGACGACGGTACTAAGTCGCTGCCAACGGGATTCCGCCTCGTTCCTATCCAATTCGAGAAGGTTCGAAGTTTTTTTCTTTTGTTCATGAACTCTACTGACAATGGTACGCGTTTTAACAGGACGATGACACAAACTATCACATGGAGCTGATAGCGGCGCTCGCAAACATGCGAGCGAGAAACTACGAGATCCCCGAGGTGGACAAGCTCAAGGCCAAGTTCATAGCCGGGAAGATCATTCCAGCCATCGCGACGACGACGGCACTGGCGACTGGCCTGGTTTGCCTGGAGCTGTACAAGGTTTTCCAGGACAAGGGGGTGGAAGACTACAGGAACACGTTCGCCAACTTGGCCCTGCCGCTCTTCTCCATGGCCGAGCCGGTTCCTCCCAAGTCGTTCAAGCACGGGGAGCTGGCCTGGTCGATCTGGGACCGATGGGTGATCCAAGGGGACCTCACGCTGACGGAGCTCCTGGAGTGGTTCCAGGCCAAGGGATTGACAGCCTACAGCATCTCGTGTGGCCAGAGCCTGCTCTACAACAGCTTGTTTCCGCGGCACAAGGAGCGGCTGGGCAGGAAAGTGTCGGAGCTCGCAAAGGAGGTGGCGAAGCTGGACATCCCTCCAAACAGGAAGCACTTTGACGTGATTGTGGCGTGCGAGGACGACGAAGGCGAGGACTGGGACGTGCCACTGGTTTCAATCTGCTTTAGGTAGAACTCTCGTCCAAACCAAGTCAAGACATTTATACTGTTCGATGGAAAACGGAAAAACTTAAAAATAAAAATAGAGTGGTTTCTTCCATTATCAAGATGTTAATTAAAATATGCGAGCAGGAATTTCCAAGAATCCTGGTAATCTCTTGCTATTCGCAGCAAAACGTGCAACTGCTGAGACAGCCACCTGCACAGGATAAAAAACGAACGTCATAGCAACGGCTGTTGCAATTTCTTCCCAGTCAGCGCCCGTTGCCCCACTTTCAGCTCGCTCTGCTTATTAAGCAAGCAACAGATTGCAAGAGTTACCTTTGGCGCAACAACAACGGCTTCTTCCTGATCGAGCTGATACAAATATTGTGAACGACCTAAAGTGGCTTTTCTAACCTTTAAGCCTTTGTAAACTCAAGGTTTTTTATTGCAAGTGTCCTTGCTGTATGCAAGTCTGAGATCATTGCTGTGTGTATCTCTCCTTCATATGGATGCCATAATCTTGGGATTCTGACGACTATAAGCAAGCTGCACAGCCTGGCCAAGGCAGGTGCACTGAGCATGGTTGGTGGGCATGAATACTCTGGTCGCTCGTTGCTCACAGTCTGAGATAGGTGCTGGGAGTGATCCTGGAGCCCAAGGGCTTGACAAGGGATAGACAAGAATGATGCGCTACTTCCTTTTGATGAGCTCGGACCTCGGGATCAAGCCGCTGGTGGACCGAGCAAAATTTTGTATTTTGTTTTGTTGGCTTATTTCTTAATTAAGGCAGTATCAAGATAGGACTACATGAGCATTTGTCTTGGAAGGGCATTTTGTTGCTCTTGATTTGGGACCACAAAGATAAGTTTTAATTTAAGTTTTCTCCTTTGTGCATTTAGGATCTGGATGGCAAGGATTTGAGCAAGTTCAGCATGAGGATTTGGGCTGAGGCTCTAAAACAGATGGTACCTCGATGGTATTTTTCATGCGTGACTGGGAGGATATCACTTTCCTCTCATTAGTAATAATTTAAGAAAAGGAAAAAGTAATCCACCTTTTATTTTCACTATTTAGAATGATATCACAAACAACATTTTTGTAACATTTTTTTGTATATGGAAAGTTTTTTGCATGCATGGAAGTTTGTATGCATGTCCTCCTCATGCTGCCCAGGCCCAGGCCGCTATGGAGTGCTCATCCTCTCCTTGCCCTCACGAGGGAATCCATCCAAATGGCCGAAGAAGTGATTGTAAGTCTGTCACCACCAGTTCAACCCGTAAGTCTGGCACCAAGTCGCACAAGTAAGTGGAGCCATCACCCATCAGAGACACACAAGAGGAGAAAACTTCCTCACTGTTGAAATCTAATGTACTGCCAGGAGTTTTGGGAGATTCACTCATTGACTTCCTCCACCTCAGCAAGAGAAGACCCAGCTGAGGAGTTTTTGTGAGTTGGGTGAGAGATTCGTGGTGTCCCTGGTGTTTGCTGGGCCGAGTTACTTGGTTTCTGGGCATAAGCCATAGGCATGTGTCAAAGAGCTTGGCTCAATTTGGTGGCTGTAATGGGGGATAGTAAGGGATAGCTTCAATTCATCAACTTTTGTGAGCTGGATGGCATGGAGCTCGCCTGATGCTTTAAGAGGGGTTGAAGTAGGATTTTCAATTCTTTGACAAATTCTGAGCTGTGAGAGAGCTAGATTGCCATGTGCAAGCGTATGGCTCTTCTAAATGTGACAAGGAACTGTCCAGTGCTGTGTATCTCTATGGAGCTCCTCACTGCTCGATATGCAAACAACAACCCAGTTCGATGCACTTTCAGCTGTGTTGAATCATGTGTCATTGCCCCAGGTCAAAAAAATCAAATCCAGTTGCGGTCCTATGAGGTGGGCATGTAGGTTGGGTCTCCTGCATATGGGAAATTGCCTTCATTCCAAAACAACAATGCTTGCTATGAGCCCAAACTTCTCACCTTTGCTTGAGGAAAGTGTATGACATCTAGAGAACTATGTATGATTTTAACAAGTTAGGGAAATGGAATTAAAGGAGCAAGAAAAAACCCAAAATAAAAATGCCACATTGTTGTGATGTAAAAAGGGATGGACATAACACTCATGAGCTCGTTCATTGTGTTCCGACTCTTTTTACATGACTCAAAGGACATGACTCATGACCACGTGGACATGCCACGTCAGCTGATCGAGACTGACATCTCGACACACATATGTTCAACTGCTGATGGAGAGCAAAACTTAGAGAATTGCGGGAGCTAGCATGGTGGGACTTGGGAGCTTGAGCAATTGGAGCTCGAGCAATTGAGCCATGTATTGCAATTTATCAACTGTTAGAAACTAAGATTAGCTTTGATATTTTTTCCTTGCCAACCAGCCACCAATTTCTAGTTATCAAATAATCAGTTATGTATAATATGTTAGATTCCTCTTTCATTTAATAATCTTCTGAAAGTTTCCATTCTATCACCTGCTTTGTGTGGACCTAGATTTGTGACAGAAAATGGGCTCCAAAGCTTCTCTATAGTAAGAATGAATAAAATGAATAAAAATGTTAAAATCAACTTACCTGCTGCAGCAGCTGCTCTTGGCCATATTATTTGGTGAATGTTGCTAGCATCCACTTTCTCTCCCCACATACACACTTCACCACCAAGAATTAGTTGTTGTTCTCTACCATCAGTGATGCTATCATATGGCTCCTTGTTGTAAAACTGCTCCCATGTGACTTCAAAATGGTCCAGGTACCATGAAGCCTGCTCGCTTATTATGCACTTCAGTCCTGACTTGACCACACTAGGAGCAATTGCAGATCCAAGCCTGTAACAACATAGTTTTACTTTGAAACACCGCATATTGATTTTCTTATACCAGTTCTGGATGATTGTGTTCTTTGGCAAGCTTGATCCAAAATTTTGAAATGCTTCCTGCCTAGAAGTATTGTAGAGAAAAATAAATACATGTTATGCAATGCATGGATTACCAGCTCACAGGAACATAACCATGTTTCATAGCTAGCTTCTGTACTTCAAGCACAAAAAACTTGTACGCTTGTGTGGCTGTTAAATTGTGCTTGCCCAACCTATCATAAAGGTATCTAGTTTCAATCGAATTTGATTTTGAGAATATCAGACCATTCAGAAACAAGCTTTGTGCTTTCCCAACAATCTGATATTATCAAAGAGTTAATAAAAAAATAATAACTCATCACTTCTTACTTGTATTTACTTCGTCTCCTCCAATATGTAACAGCTCAAATGGAAATGCCTTACGCAAATCTAGCAAGTTTGCATGCACTAAATATTTTAGAATTTTAATAAATATCATCTATATTACCAAAAAAGATGCCATCAATCACTTCAAACGTGAACTCCTTACTCACGTCTAGTGGAGTTCTGCAATTTTGGGAAGGCCACAACTGAGGATATCCAACTCCCCTGTAAATTGCAAAGTAATCTCATAAAGCATAAAAGAGAACTGCATACCAAGAACGGGCATGCCCTGGAACATCGATCTCAGCCATTATACTTATACCCCTCAGTTCAGCATACCTTAGATAGTTACTAACTAGTTTATTATTCTCATCCCTTTTAAAGCTTACTTGACTAAGTCTTTTGCATGGTCGAGACTATAGCGTTGTTTATTTGAGTAAGAGCCATTCCAAAGCTTTGGGAAAGAAGGGATCTCCAAAGGGAATGATTCATCGTCAGAAATATGCCAATGCAAAACGTTCTGGAACAGAGTAAGTTGATAAATTATTAAGCCAAAGCACTTACTAGCTTGGCATAGGCCATGGAATCAATAATAGTCTTTATTGTGTTTAATGGTAAGTAATGTCGTGCAGTATCTAGTTATTTAGCAAAATTAAGATTTAAAAGAAAAAAAAATTCATACCTATCAAAAGGCCTCTATACAAGAATCTTGGCTCATCAAAAATGTCCCAAGGGCAATTCTCCAAAAAAATAGTTTTTGCTTCAACATTGTATCTGCAGATCTGACTGAAAGTCTATGCAACAAAAACTTTGAAACAAGCCTGACTAATTTCTTCAATTATTACCTCCAATCCTCGAAGGGCTCCATAGACAGTGTTTGCCTTGTTCGAACCAACCAACAAACAAATGCTTTTACAAATAAAAGATCTTCTTACCTGGAGAAATGCGCTTTTTGGATCCAAAGGATCTGGAATTTGGAGGTGGTAAGATTCATCAGTCCCAATATGGAGCTGCTAAAAGATCAACATTAGAACCAAACAAGCGGGAGAGTCTCAATTTGCTCTCACGCTTTGATTGTATGAGAAGAGATCAATACGAAGCTTGTCTAAAACAAACTTTGGTGGATTGATCACCAAATCTTGTACTAACGTTCTTTGACCACTAATCAGTGCAGTGTACCGATCCATGCCTGCGTGCAAGACAACCAAATCCTGTGGAGCTGAGGTGTATATACTAAATTTTGGAGACAGTGTCATAGAGAGGGAGCCTTTGGAGTAATTTTTTGGTGCTGGTAAGATGAAAGCACTTGAGCTGCCATGATGATCCCAATCACTCAAAACTACACCCCATGGGCTCCCATTCCAAAGTTTAAAGGTGATTGTGAACAAAACCACTACAAGATATAGAACAACAACTATCAGTATCCCTCTCAATTTTTTTTTACACAGCATTGTGCTAGTGTTTTCATTTCTGTCATTCCTTATTTATTATCTTAGAAAAAAAAATTCCAGTCACCCAAATTGTATACACCTACTGAATAAGAAAAATTCTTCTGATTGTTCACCAGTTCACCACCAACGCTACTCTCCAAACCCATGCTGATCAGTCCAACCTATCTTTATCTTGTCATAATTCACCTAATTTATTCACTAAGAAATTATTCTTTTAATTATTCCACAAACAGTATATTATTGGGAATATTTCTTAAGGAATCTATGTATATTCTAAGATATTTCTGTAAGCAAAGTAATTTACAATTTTAGGGTTTTTGACTTCCAGCCACCCGCACAACTACAACCCCAAGGTTGAGGGTGCTCACCCTTGGACCTTTGTCCTCATGTGCTTAGTGGCCTTCCTATACACAGGTTCTTTCCTTGCTCCCCTTCTCTCATGTGTTGTGTTTTATCTCTTTCTTCAAGGACTCGCCATTTTACTTTCCCGGCTAGCTATCGGCCTTGAAGGTCCTCCACTCGGACACTAACTTGGGGCTGCTATAGCAATTGGTTTCTGTTCTTATTCTTAAAAGGACATTCTTTCAAAGAATCTCCTAAATACTGCATTTGTATTAAATCTTAAGTGAATGTTTATTACATACTGCTGGAAGTCGATATTTAAAGGCATATACCATGGTGGAAGTTTTCCAAATGTCCTTTAATTCTAATCCTTGCTTATGGAATTGACACTAAGAAAACCCGCATTGAGTTTGCCATTGGTCATCCTCATGCAATCAATTATATAACTCCACCCGGATCCCAGAGCTCCAACGAATAAATCAGCCTCTACAGCCATCATCAAATTGACATAGCTATTGTCAAATGCAGTCCTCTTGCCAAGAGATTTCATATACTTGGTCATGGCAATTGTCCCAGATTGCCTCTCCACCTTCGTGAAGTAAAATTTCCAATCCTTAACATCCATGGTCTCATCAACTACGCTCTGTGGAAAAGCAATGTAAAAAATGTTTCAAAAAGAAGTTTTCTTCTTACTTGCATCTCTGTGGAAAGCCATACGTTCTCCAAGTCTGGAAATTTTCTTCTCAACGTGTTTGCAAGGTTTATGTAGTCTTTGAAAGGATGGAGTGTCATCTCCCCACCTTTATCTCCTTGCCTTACATGGATGCTTACTATAGGTCTTGGAATCCAAGGTCCATACTTGCTCCACACAAATTCCTCTAGGGGAGTTTGGGCTTGCTCTTGCAGGAAGTTAACTGGCAAATCTCTTGGTAGAGAGAGGACAATAGCTCTAGCAGCTTTTATTCCAAATGCTTGATGTCGGGCTTGGTTTAATAAGTTGCAAAGATACTCACTTGGAAAACGCATTAGATAACGATAAGCCTTCATAAAAAGAATTTTCAAGAGAAAGGAAAAGAAAAGTTTCTATAACTTATACCTGTGCTCTCCACCACCTCCGTTTATTATAGTAATAAATATCTCCCAAAACTGCTCCATTTAACTCCTCTGTTAGTCGCATTTTCTTCCATGGTTCACCCCAAATCCTAATCTTTTCCTTGGATTAATGGATCTACCATATAAAATAAAACAAACCTTGGTACACCAGACCACGGACCAAGGGTGTTGTTCGATTTTTTTAATATCCCTTGATTCCATGCATTCTCATCAGAATATAATTCCATAGCACGACTGATACATTCTTTAGAGGCCTCCGGAGCAAAATAGCAAGACCACCTCATATAATTTTGTCCTGGAAGAAAGTGATACTTCAATTAATTTTTCTCAGTAGCATAATATTAACAAACCTGTGCATCCCTGATGGTTTGCTCCATGGTAAGGCAATGTAACAAAAACTCTTCCTTCACTCACAGCTAGAGAAAGTATGGATGAAAGGTATGTAATTTGAGAACCAGCACCAATAGGAAAACTATCACTGTGCCAGTGTGCCAAGAGAAATGTTGCATTGCTACAATCTTTGGGGTGTTGGTGGAGCCACAAATCATGCTGCACAAGCCTTGTCAAGGGAAGATTGTCGTCATTACCACCGCTAATCTGTAGAAAAAAGAAATTTCCCTCTTAGAATGTTTCATGTTAAGGTGATACTTGCCCATGGTATCAAATTCGAGATGCTCTCTTGTGAATCCTCCCCAATAGCAGTTTCCCACAAGTTCCATGGAGGCAGTTCACCATCTTTTCCACGACGATCCATCCTTGTATGCAGCTCATTGCATCTTTTACAATCTTGGATGTGAGGTGGAAAAGGAACTCCTGCTGGAGCTTTGAATCTACTGGTATCTTTGCGGATCACTTGATCCAAACCTTTGCTCCAAATATCTACTAAAGCTTTCACCTTGCTTGAAACCTTTGTGTCAGGGTGTGACCATCTAATGCTGCTTCTAGTAAGATTTCTTTGCTTCAGATGATAATCAATTACTAGAAAAGATGTTAAAATAATAAGTAAGGCTAGACAATGCACCTTGAAATATCTGAAAGACTCCATGCTTGGGGGATTGTTTTAGTGGACAGCTGGTAATTACCAATGTTTTGGTGAGACCAAACAAAGGCATTTTAAATCTTCAATTTCTAACCCCTCGCGTCAGAGTTTATTCTGTCCGTAGTCCCGATACCTTGAAGAAATTCACTCCACGCACCAAGAATAACTGTGTTTAGGGAAAATCATTGCTTACTTAATTGTCTTGACCATTGGCATTTGCCACAAATCGGACTTCTGGGAAGAATAAAGCGATCACGACGCATTATGGGGTAAGTTTGGTTCATGTTTGTTTCAATTCGTTGGTATTAGTATAGTTCTCGTAGATAAGCAGTGGCAGATTTGTGTATGGTCGACCAAATTTCTGAAGCATTTTCCCGTGACAGAAGAATTCATTTGATGAGAGAAACATGAAAACACGGATCTTTATTAATACGTGAAAACCAAGGGAAACCCCCGGTTTACACTAGCATGTTTCCAGCCGTACAAAATAGTGTATGCTTGCAGAGGCTAGACAAACGGAGAGAGCTTTTAAGTAATGCATACTCTGGATGCAAACTCATGGCTGAGTTGATTGCGATGGGCCTTGTACAGAACTTACAGGTGCCTATTTCGATGTCTGCTAAACTCTGTGTAGGATGGAAAGAGAACACACACCGCTTCTCGCATACAAGATTCCCACAAGGTACAATTCATCCACATCAGCAAAGTTCCTGCTTGCGGCATCTCCGAGTCTGATCTAAGTCGAGGAATCGATGAGGTTCATATCAAGCTCTATCATGTGAACCAGTTTTCCCAAAGTCCTTGCAGAACGCGTCAATTTCTTACGTCAGGCTGGATCGGGCTAGTGCAAAATTTTCTTGTCCTTGCCAGCCAAATCCCGAAAATGACAGCATGCTATTCGACGGTGCGTGCATCGAGAGCACAGCCACGATAAAACAAATCTAGGACCACACACCTGTTTGCCTCTCAGTAGTTAGGAGCATAGAAGTTCCTAGTGGAGCAAAACTGGCAGGGCTTTTGGAACTCTGAAGTTTGACGTATTAATTTCTCATTCTGATCTTGGGTTTTCTTTCCTCTAAAATCTCAGTTGTGCAGCTAAACTGAGCAAAATACTTTGCTGGATTGTTTTTCCACGCTTCGTGGACTCAAGGTTAATCTCCTGATTTATTTGGTGAGCAAGAATAACCTAGAACTTTTAGGTGGTGCTTTCCAAATAAAATGTGAACTTAATTCTATATTTTCAGAGCAAAATGTTCAAACGGCTTGCGCTTTGGATTCTCTTTGTGGTCCTCTTGATTCTCAGCTGGCGGCCAGTGTTTGATTTGTGGAGCAATGAGTTGGATCGAACCATCAACGCCGATCTCGACAGCAATATTAGAGCCGTGATGAAGTTTGCTGGCCCTCACCTCCAAGATTGCAAGCACTGCAGCGCCATGAATTCCAAGTTCGATCACGACTCCACCTCGACAAGAGAATTTCCCGCATGGGTACGTTCTAATTGGTAGGAACTTCTTTCATTTCAGTGTTGTCTTACACAGATCAATGGAGCTGAGGAGGACAATCTCCCATTCACACGGCGCGTCCAGCGTGATATTTGGTTGCACCAACACCCCCGAAACTGTAGCGATGCGAAATTCCTGGCACATTGGCACGAAACAAGTAGTTCAGTTGGAGTTGGATCGGACATGGTGTCCATGGCTGGAATGCTGGGAGCAGCTATTATTGAGAATAGGTTTCTTATCACCCATGGGGCCAAACACAAAGGCTGCGCAGGTGAACGAGATTCTTGGACTGGAGAGTATTTAAGATTTTGTGACTATGCTCAGGATCAAGTCATGGTCGCTGGTCATGTTATTTTGTTCCGGAGGCCTCCGAGGAGTGCATAACACGGGCATTGCAGCTTTCTATGCAGGAGGAGGCCAGGAGAGAGGGAATTGTTAAGGACTTCAGCGGGGATCAATGGAATCTTGTGCCCAGGTGAGAGAAAGAAAGTAAATGTAGCTTGGTTTTAATAGACAACCATAGTTCTTGGGGGGAGCCATGGAAAGCAATGCAACCAACTGTGGAGCTGGATGGAAAGCTTGTGAATCACAACGCAAACCATCGAAGGTGGTGGAGAGCTCAGGCAAGTTTATAGAAGCTAGTCTAAGATTTAAACAGAGATTTATACACAGGCACTCCTCTGTCTCATACGTTTTCCAAGTGAGTACCTTTGCAATCTTATGAACCTAGCAAGGCATAGGTCATTTGGAGAGGAAGTAGCAAAACTTGTTGACAAACCTCTTCCATTGTCGACTGAGATTAATAGTTTGGAGAAGCAGAGCTGCAGGCCATGGATGCCACGTCCTATGGTTAGCATCCATGTAAGGCAGGAGGACAAGGGAAGAGAAATGGAGATTATTCCCTTTCATGAGTATATGAAGCTTGCCAACTCTCTTTGCCGGAGATTTCCAGATGTAAAGAGTGTATGGCTTTCGACAGAAATGGAGGTAATATAACTTCCTCTTCACATTCTAAGAGACTATTATTACTTTTAGGACGTTATGGAAGAATCTGAGCAGTACAAAGACTGGAACTTCTACTACACTAGGTACAAAGGCAGGCTGGAAATACCAGAATGGCGGAATATATGTCATTAGTTGGAATGAGGCAAGCTTTTGATAATAGCTTTGTGAACCTGTTGATCGCTGGAGAGTGTGATCTTTTCGTGGGAGTGTTGGGTTCAACTTGGAGTTATGTTCTGGATGGTTTGAGGATGACTAATGGCAAAGTTACCTCTGGCGTCCTCACTGTCAACCCCATCAATTCCCTCCTCATATAAAAGCTTAATAAACATTTGCTAGTTCAATAGGACTTACTTCTGACAATGATTAGAAGCTTTGAAATGCATGTTTTTACTCACTTTTAAGGAATGTCTTTAATATATTCTCATTTATAATAACCTCATTCATAATTAATAAGTTTCTCATAGAATTCCCATCTGCAAGTCCCTAAGATAAACATCCCCAAAAGATTGTAGCTTTCAACTTCATCTTAAGTGAAGAGTTTGGGAAATGGCTGGAGTATCTCATAGTTGTAGATAACTTTGATATGATGTTTCTCTAGCATTACAGTCATGATTGTAGTGACGGTCCTCATTGAAACCATGTGACATGAACCACAGGAATATTCCAGTATTATTCTATGGCTTATGCCTAAGGTTCACTTTTTTGTTCATTTCATTGGTATTAGAGCAACACATTCTTTTAGGGATGGTAAATAAGCAAAATATTGATCTTAATGAAAAGTATGACAGTAGTGATGATGGCTATTACAATGAGGATGAAACTCTTGATGATGTCATTGTGTGGTAAGGACACCAGGTTCAAAGTGACATTAAGGAGGTTAAGGATTCTGTCAATTTTATTAAGGATTTCTTGCTTCGCATAGACCCTCAAGGGTTGAATCAATCTCATGTCTGTGATTTCAATTAGTATGTTAAGCATGCTAAGGATTATAGTATTGTGGAATGGAAGTTATCACTAGATGTTTATAATAGTTAAAAAGTTGATTTTTGGTTGGAATTATGAAAAAGTTGTTAGTTTCACAATCTTTATAAAGATAAGGTGAAGATTAATTTTTTTGTGATAAAGCTTACAGGTCATGCTTCTTCATAGTGGAAGAATTACATCAAAATTAATCCAAAATTGACTTTTTAGACTGATTTGACGAAGGTTTTCCACACTTCATTTGTCAAGAAATTTGAACAGGTTGATCTCGTGAATTAGTTGTTAAAAATTCAGTAGAGGACTTTGTCTTTGGATGTGTATGCCCACAAGTTTCATGGCCTTAGTCCCATAGGCACTTATAATGAGTTGCTAAAGGTGCAATGTTTCATTAAAGGTTTGAGTTTAGTGGATGTGCAACAAAAAGTCAAAAAGGATTTTCTAGCAACGTTGACTTATGCTATCACTAATGCTTAGATCTTTTCGCCTAAACTATTAGTCAACTTAGTCAAGTCTTGTCAACAGGATGGTCTACAGGGTAGTTAACGTGATGACCAACCCACCAATGCTTCATATTCGAGGAAGAAATGGCTGTTGTTTTATCGTGGCTCAAAGCATGAAGATGGCAATGAGGCTAAGAAACTTCATTTGGACCAGTAGAGAAGGACAAGGTGGAAGGCAATTGTTTTCATTGCCACAGGGTTGGATATCAAGATAAAGATTGTCTTAAAGGGGTTAATGAATGCTAAGATGATTGTGGTGGAATTTATAGTCAATAATAGGCAATAATGTGAGTGATATTGTTATTGGGGACTGTATTGCTTCAAGTTAGACATTCTCTCACATACATGAGCCATAAGTTTGATGCCATATAGCAAATTTGGATTACTCGAGATAAAGAGTTGTATGTTATGATTGTTGTTGTGAAGGAATAGCAACATTATTTGTATGGATTAGACTTCTATGTGGATTCAGATAATCAATCTCTCCAGTATTTTAGTCGACAAAAGAATCTTCGAGGCTGCCTTGCTTGTTGGCAAGAGTTCCTGCAGGAAATGTCTATTAAAATTTGGTACAAACATAGAGGTGACAATAAAGTGGCTGTTGCATTATTTAGAATGGTAAATTCTATTTCATTTGTGAAGCTATCCAGTGATATTTTGGATGAGCTTAAGGAGTTTACTGACTTCAACTCCTTTATCACTGATATTCGTGCGAAGGTTTTGTTGAGGGACACTTCTATAGATTTGAAGGGTGACAAGTTTGCGTCATTCGAGATATGAAATAGAATTTTAGTGAAGAAGGGATATGTGGTGGTTCCTCGTGTTGACAAACTCATCAAATGAATTTTTGTTGAGTGTCATGATATGCCAAGTGCTGGGCATCCAGGGGTACTGAGAATGTATATGTTAGTGAAGAGGCATTTCTTTTAGCTTGGGATGAAGTCAGATGTTAAAAAGTATGTACGTGGTTGTTTGACCTGCCAAGCAGTCAAAGTTGATCATCAGAAGTTTGCTAGCTTCTATCATCCTTTATATATATCCGAGAATAAATGGGATAGCATTTCAATGGACTTTATCACTGGTTTGCCCAAGACTTTTTGAGGAAATGATGCTATTTGGGTTGTTGTGGATTGTTTGACGAAGATGGCTCATTTCTTCCCAGTGAAGATGATGATAAAAGCTTCTGAACTTGAGTTCAGTTGTTTGTAGACCAGTTATTCAATCTTTATGGTTTGCCAAGTGACATTGTGAGTGATTGGGATCTCAAGTTCATGTCCAAGTTTTGGCAAACGGTCTTTAAAAAGTTAGAAACTAAGCTGAGCATGAGTAATGGTGAGCATCCATAATCAAATGGGCAAATAGAATGCATGAATTAGCTATTAAAAGATATGCTAATGTCTTTTATGGGAAACTTGACTAGATAGAGAGTATGGGAGAAGTACTTGCCTTTGCTTTAGTTTACTCATAATAATGTTCATCAATCTGGCATGTCTCTTTTTATGGTGATGTATAGCTATGAGCCTAGGTTTCTCATGAGTTTGAGTTTGCCTTTGGTTCTGGTACCTCATGCTTGTGATTTCTTGGAGGATATGCAAAACAAGCTTAAGTTGGCAAAGTTGAACATGAAGCAAGTGTAAGCGACTAAATTTTCCATTTTACTTTAGTCACTTAACCACACCTCTGACCACTTGAAAGAGTCTCATTCACAACCTCCATAAGTCCTATTTTGGACTTAGGGACTTGCTAGCCCCAAAAATGGCATCCATGCCACTCAACCATTGCACTTGGTCCAAGTGCTCCACGTGTTTGATCCCATGACCGACACCCCAAGGTACCACTGACATATCAGCCCGTTACGCTAAGGCTATACCCATTCACCTTGGTCACATCGGTGGTCTAACACCACCTCCATCACAGTCCCGTCTCTCAAAGACTGGGCCATCCGTCCATGAGCGATCATCCCAGATTCACTCTTTAGCATCCTTAGGATGCCCACAGACATGGGGAATAACCTTCTTCAATATCCCTTTTCCGGTCCCCACCAAGTCCCTTTCCGTCTATGGCCGTGTTCACCAACACTGCCACTGGATCAAGGCCCACAAGCCCAACCACTAAGTCCTATGGTCCTTTGGGACTTCCTCCTCACTTGACCACATCCTTGGTCTCTACACTAGAGGGTGGCTCCTCTTTCTTTTCACAGTCTGGGACTTTGGGGCAACATTTCGGAACACCATGGCCTTACGCGAGCCTTGTGGGTACTCTCCCCGCCTCCTGCCTTTGGGTGCTCTAACCATGGGCTTAGAGCGAGGTTCCGTTGAGCCACGCTAAGTATCCAAGTAGGTAGTGCCACCCACACTTGGACTAGGAGCATTGACCATTCGATATCCCGGGGAAACTAGAGCTGGTTCTTGAACACTTCACCAAGTTACCCCGCTTGTCAGTTCATGTTCACTCTAGTCTTGGACTTCCCAGTGGGCAGCTCATCACCCAACACTGGGTATAGCCTTCTTGGGCCAAACTAACCTTTCCTGGCCAAACTGGCTCCATTACAATCCTCCCCCTACTATACTTTTGGAGCTCATCAAACCCCCTAGGGTTTGGGAGATGAACACTTTGGGCTTTCACCCTCTCAAACTTGAATTCAGACTCGGACTCGAACTCAGACTCAGACTCGGGCTTGGGCTCGGTCTTGGCCTTAGCCTTGGTTTTAGTCTCGGTCTCGGTCTTGGTCCCGGTCTCGGTCTCAATCTCGACTTCGGACTCCATCTCAGGTCCTTCTCAGACTCCATCTCGGGTCCATCTCGGACTCCATCTTGATCCATCTCAAACTCCATCTCGGACTCCATCTCGGGTCCATCTCGGACTCCATCTTGATCCATCTCAAACTCCATCTCGGACTCCATCTTGGACTCCATCTTGGGTCCATCTTGGACTCCATCTCGGACTCCATTTCGGACTCCATCTTGGGTCCATCTCGGACTCCATCTTGGACTCCATCTTAGACTCCATCTTGGGTCCATCTCGGGTCCATCTCGGACTTTATCTTGGACTCCATCTCGGGTCCATCTCGGACTCCATCTTAGACTGCATCTCGGGTCCATCTAGGACTCCATTTCAGACTCCATCTCGGGTCCATCTCGAGTCCATCTCGGACTCCTCCACATGTCATGTGTTGGTCCTTTTGTGTCCCTTTTCTAGAGACTCACTTATTGCTTGTTTCGTGCTTGTTCCTCAAGCATGTCGTTGGGAGTTCCACTCCCGCTCTCGACCTTTCAAGTCGGAGCTTTTAGTCCAAATAGGTTACGCTTGTTTGGCTTTCACTTCAGCCACTACCACGTGGCACCCTTTCGGCTCCACTTTGGGGCCTAGGGATTTTGTGTTTGACAACTCCACCACCCATAGACGAAGTTCGATGTCCTCACAAACGGTAAACTATGTTATAAAGTAATACCAACATATATTACCCTTTCCATTCTTGGCACCTCACCAATATTCGTCAATGGTTTGATATCGAAGGCTCACCATGCTTTACCCGTCCTCTAAGGAGGATAGTCTCTCCAACTT